AAAAACATAAAAAAAAATATCATGTACAGATTATAATAAAAAAAAAAACCGGAAAAATTGGACGGTGATTATATATTATGTCACACTGTAAATGCTGTTCACTCGTTGTTCTTCGTATATGATAGTGATTATCGTAGTCATTATCAGAAGTCTACCTTTTCCGTGTGATCATTAACGCATTAGCGTGTATACCTATAAAAAAAAAATCGTCGACTTGATTTTGAGAAGCATCAATGCTGTTTAAAACTATACAATATAATACTACAGGTAAAGCGAATCGTTCATGTAGAACTGAAAATCGTTCTGGTTCTGAGATAATCAAAGTGTAAAATTAATATGTTCTGTAAAATGGTAATGAGGTGCAGCAAACAATTATTTAAAAAAAATTCTTCCTTTGGTACACAAACAATACAACACGAGTAGATAAACAACGGATATGTCCAAAGGTTATCACAGATAATGAAAAAACGATAATATGGAACTTAAAAGCTTAGCCTATTTTTTATGACTATTATACAGGGCATCTTTAAGGGCAAGGTTAGCATTGGTTTTTCCATTTTTTTCTGTGTGTTATCCCTTTGCCGACAATCCTCAATTGTTCAATTAAATTCTTCGATTTGGTAATAAGCTATTGGCGTAAACTGAAATAGTGCTTCTAGGCGTTCGATTTTGTACCAAGATATGTATGATTATTAAATAATTGATTTGAAAGCAAAAGTAATATTGAATATTATTGAGCATCCAGCGTATTATTACAACATATTTGATATTATGAATATAATGTGTACTGGTACATACAAAATGTGTATTTGTTTAATGTTTTCCTATCTGAAATAGGTCATTCCATATTGCCCATTATGATAGAACCACCAATAAACCATTTTGTACTACCGCTAAAGTTATAATCGTAACGGTACGCGAGACACGAGCTATCAAAATAAATGAACTATACGTTGTAGAATTTAGTCTTTACTCTTTAGAAACTTAGCTCAAGAGTTTTATGTGGGTAATTATTTTATCTTTTAACATCCTTTGTTTTCCGCTCTCGTTTGACTACTGACTATAATAATACTACTATTTTACTGAAAAAATAGCATTGAGTAAACCCGTTGTAGGTCGCGGTTTAGGTTGCGTCCACTAATTGTCAAGTTTTAACAAGAAGTTTGATTTCAAAAACCACAACGAGATCGTTATAGCGTACTCGACGCTTTGAGATAATAATCGAAATATACGGTCCTAAACCATCGGCCAAATATATTAGGTCATCTCGAGACGTTCGACACTTGAGAAATGTGGTTTTGTAGGTATTGATACACAGCATACGTAATGTTGAGGGTCAAAGAAATATGTGTTGTCTATATTATGGAACGAATAGCGCAGATAATAATATGAATATATAAACGAGGCGACGCGACGTGCTGGTTTTTAGAAGACAATATTATTTTTCATCCTAGAAAACGAAACTAATAACTAAACAGTATACACAAAGAACTCATCAAATGACCCAACTGCTGTAAAAGGTTTTCGAAATGAGTTCACACCGAAGGCGTCCAAAAATCTTACGGCCAACTGATATTGCTGCCACGGTTATTTAGCCCGGCCAGAAGAATTCTTGGAAGTGCATCCTGTGCACACTGCTGCCGACTACACTAAGACACTTTATCACATTAAGGGTGGCCGATATAATATAAACACATGCCTATACATACAACACACATAACACAAGACACTTCCCCCGCACAGCTGGCGTGTAATGTGTGTGTGTGTGTATGTGTGTTTATGGTGAAATATGGAATTAACACGTTTGGACGCACATCGGTACGGACGGTTTTACAGTCGGACGGACGCGCATAATGGTTTACCGCGGTACGCACGCAGAGTAACCGGAGATGTAACCAAACCCCATTGTCCGGGCGGAGGTTATCCGCAAAATATTTTATACACAGTGCGGCAGTCATAATGGTACGACAATAATAATATAATTTCATCGAGCCCCCGTATTTTATTGTACATTATATTATTTATTTCGAGGGGGTGCGTTTTAAAGCCCGGACAATCGCATAATGGATTCGCCGTTCGCGCGTTCGTGTCGGCCAATATTCGTTATTATACGTTCTGTCCCGGTATTATTATTATATTATACTGTTGTCAGTTCATGTGTGTGTACATACACACACAAGAAGACCTAAGAAGTATAACTGCGCTGGCCGGTCACGACACAAGGGATGCCGTGCGCGTCTAGGTAGCCGGGTAGTCCTTGTCTTTGTTCCAGCTCGAGACGCCCACGATCGAACCATCGGCTGGCGTCGGTGATGGCCAAAACCGATTTGTTCCACTGCGGGGCCTACGCGGGACGGTCGACGGCGTCGTCACCACGTTGGGAACCATCGGGCTCGTTAACGAATCGGTTTCTGAACGCGCACGACCGCCGCAGCGGTAGATCCCAACACGCGACCGTGGCGGCCACGGCGGCGGCGGCTTTGCACAGATGCCGCGCAAAAACGTCTTCGTCCCGTATGCGTGGGTCGTGTTCGTCGTCGCCTGTGTCATAGGCAATCCAAGACCCAAGCGTACACAGAAACGGCGACACAGTGGCGCTAAACGCAGTATTTTAGAAATAATTAGTCCCGGCTCCGGACCACGTAGACCTACTGGTTTTAATATGTGACAGATTTGAAACATAAACGGTTAGGTTAGGCAATGGTGTCATTTCACATAGTTATACATAACGTATAGGAATGGAACAAGCTGGTAGTAATTAGGTGCTACAAATTTTCGGTGATCGATAGTGGACGTTGCTACAATTTTGATTGTCCCTATCATGTCAAAAATACATAGACGAAAAAAAGTCGAGGAGTGAACTATGCTTAAAATTCTTCATAAGATAAATAGTTTAGAGTCCCTAATATCCAACTCATCTATTGATGTGCTTCCCTTGTCACACCCCCCTCGTGCGACCGGGTATCAGAAAATCAAAATATTCTATTGGTTTATGTATTTAATAAATTAGATTAACCTAGTATACTACAATAATTATAGGAATCAATAATCAAGACAAAGGGATCTTAGTCCATAACTAAACTTTCAGAAAAACAAAATGACCTCTTTTGTATGCTATATAAATTCATTCAAATTCAATATTTATTTTATTTTATTTATCAGTTCTATCAGACTGTGCGCGTTTTATCATACATCGATGCTTTGAGGAAATATCAACAAATAAACTAATTTTTGTTAAACTGGAATTTTTTACTGTATTTGCATTAATTTATTCATAGATATAGTATAACCATAAAAAAGTTGGCTAAGGTTTGAGCATATCATCTTTCTGTTTTGAACAAAACTGACTGTTACTCGTAAAATCATGTTATCATGATTTATAATCGACAGTCGTATAACCAGCAAACGCTGACCGGTGCTGGTTGCACAGAGAACCATAATAATTTCATATAAATAATTTTCATTTATTGGTTTAAATTTAAACAATTAGCTTTGCTGTAGAGCTGAGAAGTTATTGTTTTTACAATGATATGTTTTTTTAAATAGTTTTGTCTCACGTCGTAGTTACGCCTATACCATAGCCCTCAATTAGTATAGCAAAATGATACAGAAAGAAAATTTCTCATCCACTAGTTTTTATACCATCAAAAATACTGTTATATTAGTGAGTTGAAATTACATAACAATTTAAAACAAGGACTTATTTGAATTTTTGTGGTGAAAAAAATAAGAAGCTGATTCGTGTTTGTAAATCGCCGTTTGCCCTTTCATCAAAGAATTTTGGTTTTATTCGCGTTTATTGTTAAAATTTAGAATCCCATGAACTATTGTTTATTAAATTATAATAGTAAAATTTCAGGTGTAAAAAGTATTTGCTGTTTTTTTTTTGGACCGAATGCCAGTTAAACAACATTTTTAGCATAATATTAAGAATTTAAACTGCCATTTCACATTTAAAAACTACACGTTCGAGAGTAGGTATACTGTAAAACGTATTTACCGAAACAAAAATCAATCAACAATGCTGATTGTGCATGACCCGCAGTGTTAGTAAGTAGTGACAATGAATTCGATGTTGTAACTACTAACAAGCAGAGCCGTCTTAGGCTATGCAGGGGCTCTTGGGCACACAAAGTTTTAGGGGCCCTTTAAGAAAAAAAAACTTAAATAGGTATGTAAATTATATTATCCAGGGCCCTATCAGGCCGGGGCCCTTAGGGTAAAGATGGAACTGCTAACAAATAAGTATACAAAAACAAGTTCTACTACAGACATCTACTGCAGATGTCCACAGACTACAGAGTACACATTATAAGGACAAATACATATTAAGCGATTTTACGCTGTAAAGCTAAATGGGCCGCAAAATCTTGTTTGGGTTGTACGGCAAGCACTTACAAATCGCACGAATGAGTAAACGTGACTGTTGGTCGAAAAATATAAACAACACCGAAAGGGACTGACATCGGACATGGGTGCAGTTACAGTATGGAATTTGTACTCCGAGTGTAAATAATAATAAATCCTAATTGCCGTGCGCGCATGTGAATTTTGACCATCACGCGTACTTCGACCGGCGGAAATCCTAAGCAAACAACATCAACAACAACGGCGACGGGCAGATACTGTATTCTGACCCGAAAACAATCGCAGCGGACCGTCAAATATTTACGTTTGGCTTACCGTTTTTGTCACAGCGTACAACAGTCAACAGCGACAATAATAATAATATTATCTATTATTATGACGACAACGGCGACGCGGGGAAGACGGTCCGGAACAAGTGGACGCCGCCGGCCGCCGCCGCCACCGACGTGGTATTTTCGGCGTCCGACGCCACCAGTCACCACCACCACCACCGCCGCCGCCGCAACCGAGATGACGATGATAGCTGTTGTGGTGGGAAGACTGGTCGCGCGACGGTCACGAGCAACAGGTCCCCACCACCGGCGCTCGGCAACACCTGTGCGTGTGTCCGCCCCGTGCGAGTCAGCAGAAGCGCGCGCGCGCCCGCGTCTCATCATTATTTCGTTCGTTTTCAGTACGGGAGCCGCACGCTCACCACGCGCCTAATCATGACTTCCGGAGTGGCGGCAACGGAAGGCTCGCCTTTGTCCGCGGACACGATATGCTCTCAGAAAAAGACCAACGAAAACAACCGACGGGTAAGTCTTACAAACGGTCACACGACAATTTTAGACGTTATTGTTTTGAATTTTTTGAATTTTCCGGTTTCTGTTAGAAAAATAGACACCATTTTCTTGCAGCTCCCTTAAAAACTACTGTATAACCTATCTTGTCAATAAAATATAAGTCAATTTAGCGAGTTAACCGGTATATTTGATTACGACAAAAATCTAAAATAAAATATTTTGTATTGTACACAATAAAAATAAATGTTATCACCAATGCAAAATAAGACAAATAATACAACTAACGGTCGATTAAAATTCCACGGATTTATCATGGCTGATAAATTACCTGTCAATTTATAAATAAGAGACCACGAAATAAGCAATAATTAAACGATTGTTTTTTTTAACGTAAGCTGTACAACAAATTGTAAAAATTAAATTATCAAATCAAAATTTTTTATTTTATAGAAGAGTACGTCGTTTTTGAATTGTTATTGATTTTGCAAAATACTAAAAAAAAATATTATAACCAACTAGAATTAAACAGAACACATGAAATTATCCTAATCGTGGCCACATAATTCAATTGCATGTTATGATATACCGATTTTTTTTTTATATCATTAACATGATTATTTTTTTAAAATGGTAATTTTTTATTTTATTCCCTAATTAACTACAAATACATGTATACACTTGTCATCAGTCATAATATTATATAGTTGATTAGTATGAGAAAATTTAATTGAAATTCGCATCAAATTAACAGATTCTTTACTCGGGATATTATTTTCAAAAATATTGTTTTTAAATCATTAAAACTAAAGTTATTTACTAAACGGTAAATGTATTTTCCATGTCTAGACATATTATTAATATGGTTAATTATAACGCTTACTTTAATAGTATTTACTGATGTATCGAACTTGAAATCTCGATGTAAAAAGACCTTAGCAACACTTGTGGTTATAATATATAGTAATGAAATAAAATAATGAAATATTTAAATAAACCCTTAACCAGTAACCACAAAAATAATACTCTATAACATAAACGTATTTCCGCAGCAATATTACCATCATAAGCGCACACGACAGACTGTTATAGGGATTGAAAGCTGTCCGTTTTTTTTTACTTTTTAGACCAAAAAGCCTGACAAAATGTCGACTACCTATGATGGTCGGATTTCAATTCTGTAAAGATATACGAGTTCTTTGGCTAATTTTCCAGGTTATTAGGGAAACGGATTTTTTATTTTTTGCTTTTTTATGTAAAAACATTTGTTTTTTTGTATTGAAAAATGTTCAAATTTAAATACAAGAAACCGAAATTATGTAATGAAAATAGGTTTCCTACAAAACCTAGTTTAAGTAGTCAAAAAACTCGATCACTTTACAGAAATTAAATCGGACTATTTTAAGTAGGCGTAATTTTGTCAGGTTTTTAGACTAAAATACCACCAAAATGACATTAACTCATTGAAAAAAGTGTATAAGATAAAAATAACACTTACTTACAAATTAATCTGTTAATAAATTATCAAGGTTGAAATTTATTAAAACCCATTTTTTCTTAACTATTGCCTATATAAAACTCCTTAACACCCGTTCGCTTTCAATCCCCTTAACAAAGAATTTGATTTAGTTCGTTTACAATATTAGTCTTAAGAAAATAGTTCTCTTTACTCATAAGTTTTTAATAGTCTCCGTTGTACGAATGAACTCGAGAAGTTATGTATTTCAGAATTGTAAAATATAGCTTTAGGTGCTCGAAGTAGGCAACTCAGTATACGTGCGCACAGTGTAATTGCATACTTGAATTAAAACGGCGAATTTTAATTATTTACTAGTGATTCACTTCCATTTTCACCCTATTAAAAATCAAGTTTACGTATTTTAAAGAAAAACTTTTGAAATTTGATATTTTCATTTGATAAGTTAATTAATATTTATTATAAAACTTTTGATAACCTCTAAACACATACACGCGTTCTATGGTTTTTAAGTTTGAGAGGGATAATAAAAATAGAAGTGATCTTCCTTAGCAAAATATCATTTATAGTTGAAGAATTGTCTTCATAAATGGCGTTTTAAATTCTTGATCGTTAAATCACTACCGTGTACGACCAATTCCATTAAAACGGTCAATAGTATTTCCAGGCCGTGTTCCTTGGCGTAGGCAGGAAGTAATAAATAGTTTGTATCGGGTTTTTTTTTTATTCCAAACCTGCGGGTGGCTCCAAATCCAATAATACGTTTTACCGTGTAATCTAATGCCTTTCCCAACTATATTATTATATTTTTGTTTACGGCCAGGCTACAAGCAAGTCGATTTTTGACTTGGAATACCTACTAATGGATTTTTTTTTTTTATAGAGTAACAAGCCGATAATGGAAAAGAAACGGAGAGCCAGAATCAACAATTGCCTTAACGAATTAAAATCACTTATTTTGGACGCTACTAAAAAAGACGTGAGTATTCAAAACTAAAAAATCGTCCCAACTATTTACATACGGTCAATTATTAATGAGCATTTTTTTATTTTAAACTTGTGCAGCCAGCCAGACATTCCAAATTAGAAAAGGCTGATATATTAGAAATGACCGTAAAACACCTAGAGACGATGCAAAAGCAAGGCGTGGCACTATCAGCGGCTACCGATTCTACAGTGGCCAACAAGTTTAAGGCCGGCTTTTCCGAGTGTACGAACGAAGTGAGCCGATTTCCCGGACTTGAGCCTAACGTCCGGAAACGGCTTATCCAACACTTGAGCACGTATTTTACTAAAGAAAACGGTGGTGGCGTTAGTGAAAAATCACCTCGGCCCCCTTCGGAAACGGCCAACCTCCAACTACACCTAGACTCCAACCAAAACGCCATACTGTTGGGTACAACCGGTTCGACTTGCGGCGTTCAACTTGTGCCCACCAGATTGCCCAACGGCGACATCGCATTAGTGCTGCCGTCTAGGTCTGCCGAACAAACGACGGCGCCTCCGCCACCACACCCAATGTCACTTGTCATGTCACCCACTCCTCCGTCCACACGGTCTGAATCGTCGGGTACTGATTCGCCTAACCCCGACAGACCTTCTTCGTGTTACTCTATGGGCAGTTGTGATAGCTCGGATGCGTACAGTCAGTCGGACTTGCCATTGGCCTTGGTGACCAGAAGAGATGAAGAAAAGTCCATCTTAGAAGAACCGTGGCGGCCGTGGTAGCCATTTCAATTTGATCTTCATTTTTATCATCTTCATTTAAAAACCGATTCTCATTAAGTATGATTAAGTTTTGTTTTATTATTAATATTTTTGTTTTTTTTTTCAATTTTGAAAATATGCGCACACGTCATTTTGCTCATTAGAAAAATGTTTCAATTCTTTGTGCCATATATTCAAGTTGATAAAATCGTTAAATTTGGATTTATATAGAAGAAAAAAGGCTGGTAGTGCATAACTATTTCATAAGACAGTTAATATATATGTATATTTTTTTTATGTTATCATTTGTCATATTTAAACTAATTATTTTTTTAAATCATATTTAAGATGACCACTTGCTTACACAATAAAAAAAACAGGATTCGTGCAATTATTTCATTGATTTAATTTCCCTAATCAAATAAAATTGCCGGGCAATAGTGCAAAGAGTGTAAACAATGTTTGTGGTTCTCTTATTCAATTGTCATATTAATTTGTGTTGAAATTACCTCCATTTGCCATTATACTTAATAAGCAATGTATTTCAAAGTTTAATAGATATGTGCTAAAATTGAATTTTTTCATAATACATTTGTCTTGTATAAATATTAGTAAAAACTAATTATCAGGTTAAGTAAAATTATTTATACTTATGTTGTTTTGTTGAATATTGTATAAATATAGAGGAATATAAGTAACATATGCTCATCCTATGGTCATGTATTCGCCTTAACAGCAATAATCACTTTGTCTTCCATTAATTATTTTTTTGTATTATAATAAGCTTAACTATAAAACGCGTCATAATTTTAAAAAATGTATTTATTTCTTATATTGTTTTATTTTATTATTATGTGAAATATTTATAAAATGTCATAAGCGAACCTAAGTACCTAATAAAAGTATGTTACAAATTTCATGTGAAATGTCATGCGTAATAATATGTTGTGTCCACTCAGATAGTTCCGAGTTCTGACTACTAGCAAGCAGACAGATTTAAATTATTATTATTATTATTGTATTCTGTACCACAGATGACAAAATACGCAAGTCACAAAAAGTAAATTTTACAGGAGAGATAAAACAAAAATAAATAATAAAACTATCATAAATGGACTACCTACGATAATATACCACTTGCTGGCTGCTGCACATGCATTTATGGAACCATAAGTAGAGTAGGATACCTCTAAAAAGATCATTCAATGAATATTTTGATTATGAAGGTAACTCGTTTTTTTTTTTTTATTAGGATTTGCGGTACTTGATCTCTGTGATCCATTATTTAGAGTATAGAAATGGTTTTAAGTAATTTTCAAAATTGAACTAGATAATATACATGGACGAAACCATTAGTTACCAATAAATAAACTTTATAATAGATAGTTGTTGATGGTGTTGAACATGTTGTTTTAAAAATAATCGACGTTTTACTGTTGTGTCTAGAAAAGCAGCCATACCCATGTATTCTTGATAAACCGAATAACTACCACTACATATAATGTATTCCAGAATAGTTGATTAAATAGGTTAGTACGAGTTATTCATCTAAACGTAATCTAATATTCTAATAACTTAATTGCACAGCCCCATAGAAAAGTAGGTTTTAGACGCACTAAACTAGTCAATAATTACGTTTTTAAGTCGCTGAAACCGAATCCGAGGCCAGTCGGAAGTCCAAAGTCAACTGTAGCTTTTCCCTAATTAAAAAAATATATATATAGATACATAAAAAGAAAACAAATTGTATCTCTTTTTGTTTTCATTAGTAGTTGTAACAATAATGTACGCATGTATGCATGCAAGCATGAGATAATATAGCTACTTAAAAAATTGGGTTTAAAATATTACTCGCAAGACTTAGTGACACTAAAAATTCAATTAAACAAAAATATAATAACAACTGTTGTAAAAATCACAATCTAATCGCGTAGGCGACACCGTCGAGATTTTAGCAACAAAATATGTGGTATTTTGGAAAGTACCGGTCTGCGTGTCTTATGGTTTAGTAAAATGTGATATTAAACGTTTTATTACCCATATTGACGTTTAATCAATTAATCAAACTGCCGCTATTGTACATATCATTAATCGTCATTAACCGATTAACGTATTTTGCATTGCGGTTGAACTAGTCCTTGTGTCCGATTTCGACTGAATCCTTCAATTACATACAACGTTCACACAACCGCTTGTAGCAGCCATAATATTTGTTTTCGCAGTTATGATAATATTGTACTACCCTACTGTTTGCCCAGCAGTCACTCGGTTTACAACGGACACGGTAGACAGCTCCGGAAAGTATCGTAAAGGACCAACGTAGTAGTGTCGGCGCTACCATGATTTCTTGTACGTTATTACTCGTTGTAGTAAGTTTCTTCGTTAGTGCCAAAGAAACCGCTGCTAATAGGCATTTCAGACAAAGTCCTTCGTTCGGTAAGTTGATAATAAATAATTTTATCGTAGCTAAAAACCGCGCAAAAAATCGCAACTAACGTTCTCGCATAGTTTTAAAACTGATTAGTAAAAACGTAGTAAAAAGCTAAACATATTATCAATACATTTTATCGAGTAACTAATATTTCGTTTAAAAATATATACCTACTATTATTATTATTATTAAATAAATTATATAGTATGAAAATAATAAATAATGCTATACATAGTATAGCTATGGTAGTGATTTAAACTCGAATGATCGAATAATTTCCATCACTAGTACATAGCTAGAAGTCAGTAGAGCTTTAACTAATATATTTTATTTCGATACCCTTTAAAAGTAACACTTGATATCCATACTGAGCATAAAATACAGTACTAGGAAAATTGTTTACTTTATAAAAATTATAAATATTTTAAACAACATTTTTTAAAAAGTACTTTTGATTTTTCATAGGTCTTTTGTGAATAACAAATAGCTGTACGTCGGTATGACAAACAAGCCAAAAATTGTTCCGGAACAAGATATGTTTAAAAAGCAACGATATTAAAAAAATATTTTGTCAATCATATTTTGTCTTTTTTTATTATATATAATTTTATAGTTGGCCTATCAAATTGACCAAATTAGAGGGGAACTGTGACCTTCAGACAAATATTTTCACTGTAAAAATGTTAATTTGATAACATGCTAAAATAGATCATACGGTTTTTTCTATTGCTTTTTAAAAGATATAAATACAGCATCTTTCCAAAGGCCATAAATTACAAAAATATATTCATAAATTAATAAAATAATCAGCCAAACTAAAATGTTATTTTTTTGCCGAGAAAGTTAAAACAAAACCATTTTTAACTATACATATTATGCATAATGGTTCTCAACACAATTACAATAATAATTACTGATGTTATCTACCTAATATAAAAAACCTTAAAAAGCTAAACGTTTAATAATTATGCTACAAATAGTTTTTAATCAATTATTGTTTTTTGTTAAAACTTATGCTTTGCAGTTTTTCTTGATGTATACGAACAGCTGAAAAAAAACATTCATTTTTTTATTTGAGCACGTTTTAAGTGTATATAAGGAAAACACAACTGACAAACATATCACGTAACAAAATTAAAAAGAACCTCTATTCTATAAAATTGTAAATGTGTTTTCCAAAGTTGTTAGTAAAGTCAATAAGACAGTGGTGTATGTTTTTTTATGACGAGAATTATAAAGTAAAAAACTGAAACAACGGTAATCGGAGACGCGAGTTTTTTTGTACCTGCTAGAGATAAGTGTTTCCTTTAATTCATTTCCCGTGTGATTATCGCGGTAGGCCACAGTGACACGAGGTCGTTGCAGAGCTCTCCCCGTTTGTTTTCATTCTTTGACACGGTCCCCCCATATCGCCTTATGATTTTGCACCCATGACTGCCTTAGGGGTCAATCGTTACATATCGATTGGCATGCGGTTACAACACCGCGCGATACTTATCCGCGGCGACATTGATGGGCGTTTCGCATCAATTGGTTCTATTTGATTTTCCAGGCAATTATTTCGCGGACAAGAGACGACCTCTGCTACAGACCCGAGAATACGGTAAGCACGATATATATATATATATACGGTAAGCAAGATATACATTATACAAACATTTCAGTTATCGAATTACAACACGAGTACTGGTCACCTATTTAAAGCGATTTTCATTAATACTTAATCCAGTAGTCAACAAAATATAATATTTAAACATCGAAGTATAATTTTTTAATTTTAGCTCATTTAATCTTCTACATATACACACAATATATATATATATATATATATGTATTAATTTATTTTATGATAGAAATCATTTGCGATACAACAGCCGACTGACTGTATGTCTGTAATTTTAAAACTAAATTATCGGTTTTGTTAAAATGTATTTACGCATATTTTTTACTCGCATAAATTTGTTAATAACTAAAATACATATATTGAGCAATTCTGGGGGGGGGGGGTCTGGGTAACCAGTATCATAATCTGAAGTATCCGTAGATTCGAATTTCTGGATGGGACGCGGTATGTTCGATCTGAATCGTCGACTGAAAGTGTTGGAAAGTCCAATCGTCGGCAGAGCTAAAAACATCGTCTTCTTTTTGGGCGACGGTATGTCCTTATCCACGGTGACTGCGGCAAGAGTTTACATGGAACAGACGTCAGGCAGTTCGTTCCCAAATGGCAACGCCTCTTTGTCTTTTGAATATTTCCCATACACGGGTCTAGCTAGAGTAAGACTTCACTTAAAATAGTTGTTGCATTATTCAAATTAAATACGATTGCGTTTTCCCTGTAGACCTATTGTGTAGATAAACAAGTGGCCGACTCTGCTTGTTCGTCCACGGCTTATATGACCGGCGTCAAAGCGAATTCAGGCACATTGGGTGTAACGGGTGCCGTCCGAGAGAACGACTGCGAATCTTCGTTAGAAGCCAAAAATCGAGTTGACTCGATTCTACAATGGGCTCAAAAGGCTGGGAAATCGACAGGGATCGTAACAACAACCAGGTAGATAAATTATCGAAAATTGCATACATCATTTAAACTGAGGAATTGTTATATTGTTGGGATATTTATGGCTATGATTGATTTAAATTACAAGTTACACAGCAATATAATATAAATGAAAACTTGTAATTAAAAGCCTTAAGCGCAATTGATTTGTACAAACAAATGAATCCCACTATTATATTTTCTTATTAAGTTTTTATGTAGTTTTTCGAGTGATTATTTTTAATGATATCTAATAGTAGTAATGTAACTCATAATTGACATAGAGTTTTTACCGATGCTTCAATTATTATGCCCAGATCGATCAACCCTATCCCTTGAATTGCATTAACCATGAATTCAATTGTAGGGATATTGACATTACACCCGATAACAACACATATTATACTTATTAGAGCACCTAAGAAACTATCTACTAATCTACCCCTATCCAAATGTAAGTATCACTAATTATATACCACTCGATACGGCGAATTCCATACTACCTATTCGATCTTTAAATAATGAATCACTCTCTACAAAATTGCTTAAGTATACAAACAAAATTGTTGTGTTTTGTACAAAATATTAAATTATCAAATAAATATAAAGGTATGCTTGATAATGTTATTAATAAAATCCTAAACGTTGATTATCGACGTTCGACAAACAGACATCGAAAGGATAATCAACAGACACAACAGATTCTATATACCATAATACAGACATTTTTGTCTACCTAACCTATTATTATTGTATAATATATAGTATTTGAAACCCTGTAATACCTTTATTTAGAGGAATTTGTTAAACAAGGCTCAGTGTTTGTTTCCCTTTTTATGGATATATTTTGACGATTAGAAGGTTAGTATATCTTCAATTTTTATGCATGATAGTTGGTACTAAAAGTTGTTTGGATATATTTACATTTACATTTTACATAACTATAATTATATATCTAAAGGACACATTTCTTTCTACAAAGCAGTAGCTACCCCTTGAGCTTTAGTAAGCAGTGGATGTATTCTATATGCATTAAATAATGGCTTTGTAAACATGGCACATTTTTTTCTATGATTTCAACGCCCCAAAAATGCATTCTCTTGTTTTCATCACACGAGAGATAAATTAAAAAATAATATTTAACTCACTAGACGTAATTAAAATAACATGATCATTTAGTATGTAATTACATTTTAGAGCAGTTTATGAATGATGGATAACACAATTATGAAACTTTTTGTACAGAGTCACCCACGCTTCTCCTGCCGGCGGTTACGCCCATTCTGCCAACAGGGATTGGGAGAGTAGTGCACCCGGAGACTGTTTAGACATTGCTCAACAATTAGTCACCCAAGAACCCGGGATAGAGTTAGATGTAATGATACTAATTTTTTCACGTTTCATTATTACAAGTGTCGGTATAATGGAAGAAATATTTTTTTTTTTTTTGGTAGGTGATAATGGGGGGAGGTCGGCAAGAGTTCCTGCCAAAATACATTAACGGCAACCGCGAAGACGGTCGAGATTTGATTGCAGAGTGGAAGATCCGGATGAAGAAGAACAATCAGAGATACGACTACGTGAGAAACAAAACGGAGCTGTCCAATTTGAACTTAAACAACGTGGACAAGCTTCTGGGTGAATATTAATATTAAACAATTCGTATAGTTATGCGCGTTCGTTATTATCCGTGTTGTGCGTGCTACCCATAAACGTAATTGCAGGTTTGTTTTCGATGAGCCACATGTCGTACACGGGCACCAAAGAGCTGGAAAGAGACGAACCGTCTCTCAGTGAAATGACTTTGGCGGCCATCGAAGTGTTGCGGAAGAACAACAACGGATACGTGCTATTCGTCGAAGGCGGCAGAATCGATCATGCGCACCATCAAAATCTAGTAGGCCCGATCGATAATCAATACCTCTGATACCTGTCCGCGGCCAGGAGATATACTTTAACCGAACAGCCCGTGTGAATCGATTATTTTCGCATTTTTTCCAGGCACACATGGCCCTGACTGAGACGATAGCGTTTTCCAAAGCCGTAGACGTTGCCGACACGATAACCAATCCGAAGAACACGCTGATCGTGGTCACGTCAGACCATTCGCACACCATGACCATAAACGGATATCCAGCCAGGGAGGATTCAATCATCGGTGAAGTAGACCGCGAAGAAGGGCCTTATTCGATATTGAGCTATGCCAATGGGCCGTCTGCGTCGGCGCAGTCTTACAGAAAACAGATGTCTAAGTATGGTAAGCCGAGTATGGTAAAGGCCAGTTAGGCGCAAACACAATTTAGCCGAGGCTAAAAAAAATTGTCAAGTTTAAAATGTTTTGGGCCCCGAAAGAATAGAGAATCACCCCTCACCCCTACCCACCAATTTATATAATATGGGGTATTCCCAGCCATTTTTCCCCTGTTTTTCTCAAAAAGAAAATCTCAAACGTTTGCGAGTTATGAATTATTGATCATTTTTAACGTACTTGTTCACGTTGTATATTATTATAAAATAATAATTGTAGGCATAAGCATAATATTGATTATTTAGAGTATTTAAAAACTAGACCGTCTATGGGCAAAACATTTTATCTATTTATTTCATCTGTTTTCTTCCTAAAAAGCATAAAAAATATCCATTTAATGTAAAATAAATAGTTTTTTTTATAAAAAAAACTACAGTTACGTTTGCAAAATAAAGTAAGCTACTAAAAAAACCATGACGCATAAGTCAAAAGGTATATGATTTGGCACTCCAAATATATAGCTTTTTAGTACTGATGGAAGCCCATGGAAACGCGTCTTCCCTTCTACATCCAAACCGGCTTTTTGAAACTTTTAATTATTCAAAATTTTATGCTCCATAAGGCTTGTCTTTAATTTGTTCATTATCTATTAACTTTTGTCCGGGGATAGCCCTTTTTTCTATACAAGAATATTTTGATTTACATATTGTCGAAGTTTTACTAATTTTTGTTAAAAAATGACATTGTTATTTTCGTGCCAAGTAACAGGTATAATTAAAATATAACAATTGCTAAATCAAAAAAATATTGTAAGTCAATTTTTTGACAGTTTATTGTAAAATCTTTGTTTATTGTACAAGAATAGAAGATTTTTTTGCAAAAAAGTGAGAATTTAAATAGTCCATATTTCAATAGCAAGAAAACGTAAAACAATGTGTTACACAATGAAATGGAATGTATTGGAAAAACTTTAAACTGCTAAGTGCTATCATATCAATCGTTATTTTGTAAATACATTTTTTAATTAAGCCATCGTACAAATAAACTGAAATTTAACATTGCTTACTCAGACCACACACCAGATTTACCTACTTCACAAACAGATGGAATGTCCGAATTACGACGCTTTCATGTAAACCAAAAAAAATAGGTTTAATAGAAAACAAAAAATTTTTTTTTTTTATAGGTGAAAGTTTTGCACTCTATCCGTCCTTAGTGCCAATGTCAACAGAAACACACGGTGGGGAAGACGTGGCCGTATGGGCTCGGGGACCATGGGCTCACTTGTTTGTCGGCAGTTTTGAACAAAACATGTTACCTTTGATTATGTCTTATGCTTCTTGCATAGGACCAAACAAAGAGAAATGCTCAAATAGATAGTTTATATCAATTGAGTATCTATCCATTTGTTAACTTTTTTATTATGTTGTGATTACCAGTTGTTATTAAACACATTGTTAAACTTCAATTAAATATTTGATTTATTTTTTACAAACGATCATCAATATGTTATTTTGTTATTTATTTGTATAATGATTTACAATGAAATAATAAAGCGCTATAAACTCAAAGTTTACCATTTATAAAAATAACCTACTAAAAAAATTAAAACATTTTTTATATATAAATATTTATTTATTTATTATAATATAGGTATATTTATCTGCTCTCATGAATATGTAATTTTACATTTTATTATTGTATAAAAGTTATATAAATAATAATTATTTTAATTTGACTTACAGTACAATGTATGTATACATTATGAACTATGAGTCCATTACACAGTTTCATCAGTAGTATATTTAATGAACCACAGTGCAGTATTAATGGAACTATCCATATGTGCTGATACTGTACTCAAAGGATGACAATCATTGTACATTAATATCCTGCAAATTTAGTTGAACAAATATAAATAAAAAATGAATGAATAATAGACATACCATTAAAACAAAAAATCAAATTTACTTTGTAGTAACTCCGTGTTTCTTAATAAGATGATGATAAGCAATACCCTGTGATGAAGGCACACGTAAATCTTTATCACCAAGCAACAATAGAGTAGGTGCCTTGACTTTATGAGCATATCTTAATGGAGAACTTTCAGCCAATTTGATCATAATTTCTTTGGATTTATCCAAGTTATCAACATTAAAGTAGTTAAAACCTATTTCAGTAATGGACCTAAAAAAGCAAATTATACTTTAGTTTTTAAAAACTAACAAACCATGTTTATAATATTAATATATACAAGCAGATATTTTAAGACAATCACTTGTTCAAATTAAATATAATTGTCTTGCAAATCAGGAATGTAAGTAGTAATAAAGTGTGATAGAAAATAAATAGCTGGATTCCGAGTTGATAAAGCTTTAAATTTATTCTGAAATTAAATGGTTTGTAATAAAACATCTGCTACTTAAACATACCAATCGTTTATATCTGAAGTTATATACATAGAAACCAAATCAGTAACAGGATTCAGAGCACTGACTGCCTTGAATTTAGACTGTAACACAAGTGTTCTTATAGAATATTTTAATTTATTACTAGTAAAATCTGTTCAAATATTGATTGATGAGATCAATAAATTATTTTAAAAATTAAGTTATTAAATACTTAATAATACATGGTGGAATTCAATGAAAGTACAATTACCGGGTATTGTCCACTTAAATGCGTGACTAAAAATCCACCATGTGAACCACCAAAAAGCACTAGTTTTCTATTAGACCATGAAGGGTTTGATTCGACCGCATTATAAACATCTTTAACATCAGCGTCACCAACATGACCTAATAATGATTCTACATAATCTTGACCCAGTCCAGTCGATCCTCTGAAGTTAATAAATAATACCGCATAACCTAAACAAATTATGCTGTATAAAAATTGTACAAAACCTGTTTTAAAACAATTTTTAACTACCAATTTGAACAAAAAATGCAGCATCTGCTATGTATGAATCCAATGACTGAGAGTGTGGCCCACCATGAGGCCATACAATTAATGGACAGTCACTATTTTTAGGACCATAATAAATTGTAGTTGGTTTACCTGAAAATTATTCAAATTATTTAAAAGTTGTGTATCAAAAGTATAGGTAATCTTACTATATAATGTAAATCCGTGTTCAACGATAAATGTATCGCTATTTGGAAGACTACGCGAAGGTGATATTTCATTTACAGTTACTTGGTTAAAATCATAAATTCCACCACTAGTATTTATCCTAGCTAAAAATAATTGGCCAGGTTTATTGAGTGATGATTTGTAACAAACTATAATGTCATTACATACATCAATTACGCTCAATGATTCTTGAAAAGGTTTTACTATTGGCAAAAAACTGATAACTTTTGTTTCTATAAAGTACGAATAATAAATTAGCCACAAGTACAATTTAAAAACCATGAATTACAATTGAATATAAAATAGTACCACTATCAATCGCAAATGTATGTATTGAACCACCTTGAGGTGTACTCAGCAAAATAGTTTTATCATCATTTAACCAACACCTTTGTGGCAATGTCTGATTATATAGCCCATAAAATGGTACTTGTTTTCCATTGATTTCCAATGTGTTATTAACAATATCAACAAGTGTAGTACTCTAAAATAAATAGTGTTTTTAATTATATATATTTATAAAAATCACATAAATAGTAGTGTAGTAGTAAGGTTAGGTTCACCTACACTATAAAGTGTGCACTGTACTTAAAACAAAAAAACACGTGCCCACGGATAGAGTTCACAATTTTTGTTACGTGCACACATTCACAGAAATGTAGGAGATGAGTGCACAGCATGTACCCTTACGACTACACCACTGCACATACAAGGTAATAATATTACTTTTTTTGTTAACCAATCATAGCACATTAGCTTGAAGCATGAATGATGTGGACCCCCTGCTTGGTGTTCTAACCAAATAAGTTTAGTGCCACTAATATTAAATCTAGGAGACTTCACTGATATTTTTTCTGAAGTCGAACTCAATACGGCTAGAAGATACAAATTAAGTTAATAAACTATAAACAATTGGTAAATGTTATTATACAATTAAGAATGATTTTTAAAGAACTTACTATAGTTACCACTTAATGTCACAGAAAATATTTGGCTATGTCTGTTAGTGCAATATATAAGACCGAGTTTGCGTGGTGTAATTAAATACCCAACAGCAACAACTCCACTACCATCAGGAATCCAAGTAGCTGCAGCAGGATTTATATCTTCAGGAATATTTAAAAAAATATCAAGTTCATCTTTGCTTATATCACAAACTACAAGAACTGGAGAAACTTTACCAACCAACTGTTCCCCCCAATCTTGCTTCCATTCATATTCTTTTCCCTAGAATTAATAAGCTGTTAAACATATTTAAAACTAAAACATAAACTATAGTTTTACTGGAGTAGGACCATCATTTTTTTCAATATTTGAATCTTTAGAAGAAATTGATTTTTGTTTAAAAAATGGTTCTGATTTTGGGACTTTTTTTTCAGCAATATACAAAATTTTAGTTTCATCAGGTGACCATTGTAACGTTCCAAATTCAGCTGAATAAAACAATATATATTTTATCTGATACTCAATATTTATTAATAAAATAGATATAAATAGAAATTTATAGTAAAAATCAAAATACAAACCATCAGCATAAACTTTTCCATGAATATCTAAAGCAGTTAAGTCATAATTTTTAATTAAAGAAAAGTTTGACCAAACTTCTAGGTACTGTTTATTTTCCTTTCCTGAATCAATTTCTCTAATTACGCAGAAGTATTTGTTGGACTTGGAATAAGCACTTAATAACCTAAAAAAACATGTAGAAGTTAATGTGTAGAACGTCATAGAAGTTTTGGTCATTCAATCATTTTGAAAATGATTAAATCATAATTGTCCATAAAAATAAAATCTATTAAAAAATTGTGAAGTACAAAATATTCATAAGATATAGTTAATATAATATCTGCTGCAAAAATGACCATTATATTATTTCTGTTTAACAAATTCTGGTAATAACACTGGTAGAGAAAATACACTAGAGGTAATATTTTATCCTTTGATATTTTATAATGCTACAGTTGCTGTAATTGAAGTGGAGGGAAGCGTTGGGTGTTTTGTGTGACAGGAGGATGCCTGTAAGATTGAACGGTAAATTTTATAGGTCGGTAGTGAGGCCAGCAATGTTATATGGGTCAGAATGTTGGACAGTAGATAAGAAAACTGAGCAGAGAATGAGTGTAGCGGAAATGAGAATGTTAAGATGGATGAGTGGAGTGACTAGGGAAGATAGAATAAAAAATGAACACATAAGGGGAGAGTCTAGGGGTTGCATCAGTTGTGGAGAAAATGAGAGAGAATAGGCTGAGATGGTATGGTATGGTCATGTTATGAGAAGAGATGAGGCAGAGGCAGTGAGAGGTGTTATGAAAATGAATGTAGAGACAAAAACAGGAAGACCAAAGAAAAGATGGTTGGACGGAATAGAGAGTGATATGAGGATAGCTGGGGTGTTTTTTAACGAGATGTATGGAGGTGTAGGACTAGGGTGGCCGACCCCATGTAGTTAAGAGTATAAGGCGAACAAGAAGAAGCTAGTTGCTGTAAAACTGTTTTTGGACATATTATGAGTAAAACATCTAGTAGTAGCGAATATCTTATAATTTTTTTTTTTTTTAATTAAGAGCAATAATTGATAAAATTATTTGTTAATATGTACAGGGTACATTGAACACAGAAAAATCATCTATAACTTTCAGTCTGGTAGCCGAAGGAGCTATGCTAATCTGTTTTGCTACTCCATTTAAAGGTATATAAGCTAATTTAAACTGAAAGCTATACGCTATGTACAAGAATCATTTTGGATCTTTTAAATATAAATTAATTTATTTTAGTTAATTAAATACTATTCAAGTATTAGCCATTTTTGCAAGCAACATTACTACTGTGGAAATTATTTCTTAAACATACTCGTTAGTAATATCACTAGGCGGAGATGTTGGTGTAAAAGTCTTGTAGTCGGATATAACCGTTTGTCGGTATTTAGTTGTTGTCAATCTCTCTAAAACTTGTTGTGTCCAAACTGATTGTACACTAACTGAAGAAGTTGTTGGACGATCAAGTATTCTAGCTGATATTAAAGCTGGATATTGAGTGGCAATACGATATGCAGAAACTACTTTTTCCAACTTAAACAGTAATACAATTGATATAATTTGCAATATAAATATGCTCTAGTTAATTTTTATTAATTTTCTTACCTGTGCCATTTTTAAAATTTTAAATTGTAGTTACTATATTAAATTACCAATTGTACATAGGTACTATTACAATATAGGATATTTATATATTAACAAACGCGAAACAATTAAGAAAAATCGAATAAGAGAACTAAAACAAGTGAAACACGATGAAGCATGAATACAATTTATGGTACCTCCGATTTAATTATTATTATTTGGTAAACAAAATCATATATTACACATTTCCCATCCTTATGGACATTGCACTGGAGCTAGAAGGTAGAAGCAGACCGGTTGTCTGGTTTACGTTGCTTACAAAAGATTTAGTTGTGACTATATCAGCTGTGATTACTGATAAGTCAATAGCCTTTATCATGAAGACTTCTACATCATAAATCATATATATCTGCTGCCCTCCTAAGCAAAAATGCCGTAATTCGAAAAAAAAATGTTTTTGTAAAAACCCGATTAAACAAAGTAAAAAGGTTTCTTACTTGATTTAAACGGTTTTAAAAAAAAACAAAATTTTCGAGTTACGGCATTTTTGCTTACGAGGGCAGCATATAGATATTATATTATATATTGTATACCTATGTATTTGTAATCTGTATCAGGCACACATATTATTATAATTTATAAATCCACTTTGCATACTGGGAATAGGCAATAGCTTTATCCACGTTCCTGGTTATGAAGTATGATTTCATGGGTCATGAAATCATATTTAATAATCAATTCCTTATTTAAATATTCTAATTTCAATAGATTATACTTGAATACTTATAAGTAATCAAACTGTTGAAATACATGCAATTAAATAACTATACGAATCCCAATTTCCAAATACTTCTCATTATTCGAATCCAGAGTTTTTTCAAATTATTCCCATCATTATATATGTATATATTGCATGCATTGGGTTGTATCAATAGTTGTTATTTAATCGTTAATGTTCAAATTTAAATCAGACTGTATGCAACTTGGAGTATTTTCTTGTTAATTGTGAAAAACCCATATACGTAGTTCATACCGTTGTCAAGATTATAGGTATTTTAGTACTAAATATAATGGGGTCGGATCATAATGTATAAGTCAATAGGGTTTAGGCCCCAGAGTATACGCCAACTATATGACTGAATTACTTTAATATTTTTTGTTTTATTGGGTATAGCTTATTGTATACAGTATAATGTACCTACATCCCAAGAGGTATTTGTATACGACTAATATTTATATGTGATTTAACTATTACAATAGAAATCGTCTTGTTCAAAATAAAAATAAGAAAACAAATGTTATAAATTATAATGATTATAATGAGGGCCCTTAATAATATAGGCCCTTATATTCAAGTATTGTCCCGAATTATTTATTTCCTGTGGCCCAAATCAGGTATCATAATTTGATCGGTGATATTAATATAAAAAAATCCCAAGTTTTTTTTTGGTTTATCCCCAACCTAAAAACATATTAATATGGATTATAGCATAGTATTCTCTTAAGCGCACATGAAGCCGTTCAAGAGAAATGGATTCCTAGTCCCCGCATTTATGTTGAATTTAATGAACTCACATAAATTAAATATAATTAAAAATACCTATGTTGTTTGTTGTTATTATAGTTCCTATAATAGGTGCCATGACAACAGTCAATAATAACATTAAAAATTACTTACAGGATTTTAAACTAAAAAAGCACTTAGACAAATAAGATGTCACTGTTATAATAAGCATTTACTCGAATAGATTATAAATGTCTTACCAAGATTTATTTAGTGAGTATAGTTTTATGTTTTGGTTATACATTTATACATGGTATTATATATATATATATATATATATTTATATATTAATTTACGACAGTGTTAAGTCGATGCCTTTATTTTTAAGTACCTATTTTCTAAATTTGATTTATTAAAATTCTTTCAGAATTTACAGAGGTTATGAGATCACTAGGATTTCATAAACAATTAGCTATGGATAGTTTTCACAACCCAAATTTCTCATTGGTATCGGAAGTTTTACTTTGGCTTTCTTTGCGTTTTGAACCTGACTCAAACTTATCACATGACATTGAAACGCCCGAACAAAGAGTGTACTTTTTACGATCTATGGTGGAATTTTTTGTAGGTTATTAGAATATAGAGCAGTTTATTAAAAACATTTACATTTTATAAATTTGAAAACTTAGGCTTCTTAATATTTATTTAATTTGCAGGTCATTAAAGCCAATATCAAGCTCAATGTAAAAAAACTCTATCAAGCAGATCGTAATGCCGTTGGGGAATTATTAAAAATCACCGATCTATTAAATTATGCGTTAAATTCAAAAAGTACTTTTAATGAGGAACTAGGATTTTCTAAAATTGACACAAATTTAATTTATAAAGTATGTATTTTAATCGGTCATTTCAAAAACGACATAAGTCACCGATTTTTCAAAAATGTCTTTTTGTAAAATTTGATAATTATATACTTAGTTGCGTATTCTGTTGCTGCGTATTGTTAATCAAATCTAATTTAAAATAAGGTAATTGATATCTTTAAAAAAAATTAATAGGCCAGTGAATTAAAAACAACCAGAGATTTGGCAGCACAAGTTACTCAGAAAGGTGCTGATCTGTTTCGATCACTCGAAGAAGAAGTTGAACTACGATTAATCAGAGAGAACCGAATAAATGCAGCTTTGGATATATCTGAAGTAGAACAAAGTATAAAATCGCTGATTGAGAAAACTAAACAAAAAACAGAGCAAACCAAACAAATGATGAAAAATATATCTGCTACTTCAGCAAACTTGGATGCAAAAATTTCCAAAAGACGTGAAGATTTGGAAAGAAATTCAAAGAGACTAAGTACATTAAAACAAGTTAGGTGAGTCTAAGCCATATCAAATTAAAACTGCATTACTAATAACCATTTACTCACTATTTTGTTACTCTTGATACAATTAATTCTAACAAATACTTTTAGACCTGCATTTTTGGAAGAATTTGAAGACCTTGAATCTGAACTTAGGAATTTATATCAGGAATACATTACTAGACAAAGATGTATAAGCTACTTGGAACAACAACAAGAACAAGTTGCTCAAGTGGAGCTAATGCATATTCAAGAGCAACAAGTAATTCTATATATTGTAAAATACTATAGCACCAATTTATTTTACTCATACCTACCATTGGTAATTAGATATCGATCATTTGTCTGTATTTGGCACTCTTTTTTGGATTTCATATGAATTAAAAACTAAAATCCAGAAATGTGGTTAAATAGTGTTTCCTATCTGTAGTATACCTTTTTAATCTATTCTTTTACTAAAAATTCATCATTTTACTTTAAGGAAATGGCAAAAAAATTTATTGAAACTAATAAAATAGATGAAGATTTAAAACTATTAGAAGAAGTTAATAACGAGCATTATAACACTCCATTTACTGAAAGCGCTTGTGATATTGGTGATGGTGTCAAAGGAAGAGGTAAAGTATAAAAATAAGATATTTTAAATTTAAATTATATATTTCCTTAACTTGGCAATGTATCTTATAAGTTATGACACGTCAGCTACCATGAGGATCAGGGGTATTTTTCCCACAAACTATACTAGTATACCAAATGTGTTAAGAAAAAACTTACCAAGTTAGTCACCAGTGGTATTAGTTATTTGATGTTGCTCTTGGTACGCTAACAAAGTTCATATGAGAAACCCGTATCTCTTGTAGTACATAAAATGATTTATTTGAAAATAGGGCTGGTGATCAACATATTAAGAAACAAATCTTTTTATTGTATTTTTCCATGACCAACCTAATAAATGTGATTTCAAAATTTTCCCTTGCCAAGTGTTAAAAAGTTAACTTTATGTTACTTTCCTTCTTTGTGTTAAAGCCTTTATATTCCCCGAATGATGTCTTCAAAAAAGGTATTTTTTTATGGGTAGACAATACTGCTTGATTTCCAATTTAATAAAATCACTCAATAAACATTCACAGGACAGGGACTATTGATTATTATTTTCTCTAAATACTGGGATTAATGACCTTTGATAACAACTAACTTTGCAGCAAACATATTATCTTATTTTTCTTATTTGCCACACATTTTAATGATCTTAATGATCTAAAGCTATTCATTATTGTGTAGTTTAATTAGTTGAAGTAAAATTTTAATAATGATTTGGTAATACAATTTTACTTAATTTTTAATTATTTATAATTAAAAAAAAAATTAAAGCATTTATATTATTAAGTTACATATTCACTTAACAATTCATAATTGTTGTAATTTATAGTTAGTAGTGCTGCAACAAATAGAAATCGTGGCATGTTTGACAGACTATCAGACAGCGACACAGATTCCGATTTAATGTTAGATGATGAAGAAGATTCTAATGTTTTAGCCTCTGATGGTGATCTATCAACTTCGAGAGCAGAGAAGTCAGGAAGTATTCATAGTGATAGCGATAATAATTAGTCAAAAACTAACATTCTAAACTTTTGAAAGTAACATTGTTTAATAATTTCTTTTTTTTTTTGTGTATCAGAAAGTTTTTATATTTTCTTCACAATTTGTACAACATCTTCATCATTTAATTCATGATCTTTTCCAACTTTTTGTGGCATGTGTTTTACAGATGAACCCCAAACAAGGGCACTGAAAAAAAAAAAAAAGTTTATAATTTATAGTAAAGTTAATAATTCTTACGTCCTACATATTTTTATACGCCGTTTTTAAAAATAGGTTACTTAAATATAACATCTATGGGTAAGATACCCGCGCGGTTTTTGTAACCATACGCAGCTCGTCATCCCAAATCATACATTGTGATCAGAATTTTAATTATTGATATTTTTTCTATGAAATAACTATTATAGGGAAACGTTTATAGTCTCAAATATTTAAAACTAATTTTATAAGGTAACATTCATAAGTCAAATAGCTATCTACATATACAATTTACCTAATATAAGCAAAATGATGTAATAAAAGTAATGACTGGCCGATATCCAGTTTTGATAGTAATTACTGTAGTAAGTAATTTTAATAAATTGTGGACATGTGCTGCTGTATTGGTACATTCAGCCACCAGTTAACACTCGCCCCAAACATGCTTACTAAGCACTGGTCAATAAGACAATAGGTAGGGGGCAGCGGATACACACACAGGTCACTAAGCCTAACCTAACCTACCGGTCGACTAATAAATATAATAATATATTCATACTGTTTTGCCACGCCTTATTACTTATCACCTTATTACTTTTATATTTTATCATGTGTGTTCGCCAGGGGTAGGCTAGGTAAGGTTAGGTAAAAAGTCTCGACCCCTTCTATGGCCCACCCTAAAATTTAAATAAATTTAGTTTAGATTCATAGCTATAATTTTTATGATTTTAAAATAAATTATAATCCATTATCAAAAAGAACCTTATGACTTACAAGAATACAACAAAAATAATGTAACATGATGTGTTCAACAGGCAACACTCAACATTTAATCTTTTAAATATTATTTTATTAAATAAGAAATAGCTACTGTGCGAGTTTGTTGTATATATGAATCGGGATAGTAAAATATAAAACATTTAATGTTAATTTAAAATATTATTATTCCTATAGGGAACTGCTTTGCCTAGTCTAGCCAGCTAACAAAATAAGATTGTTGTAGTACATTTCTAGGCAAGCAAAGAGATAGGAAGTAATTATTCAAAACTGGCTATCAATTGGTCGTAATTTTTACTAAATTTTTCCGCTTTTTATAGATAAATTAAGTAACATGTAGGTTGCTATTTTATTTAATGTTTTTTTGACCAAAAGATACTAAAAATGTACATTAAACTATTTTAGTTTAACTAATTATTTTATAGAAAAATCACTGCAAAGTAAAATTTTGATAATTCTAAAAGTAAAAACCGTTTGGATACTTACTATTTAAACTCTTTAGCAATTGTTCGATGAAGTTTATTACAAAAATCTTCAATACTTTTTCTTTCGTTATGTAAAACAATAGGCGATCCATAATCTGGAAGTTGACCTTTTGGCTTTGTGTAGCTATTAAACATATATTATTAGTATATTTCTGTCCTTAGGATATTTACTTAGGATATTAACTACTTACATTCTAACTAATTTCAAATACTCCCACATTTTTTCTAAGAGGTCGTCAAAGTTCCATTTATGATGAGCACTTATGGGTACAGTATGTGGTATCTTATAAATTATATCTAATTCTTCAATGCTTATTTGATCTAATATTCATAAAATAAATTGAGTAATAAAAATACATACTTCTGTAGAATTTTACACATGCAATTGGTAGTGACATACATACCTATTTTATTCAGAATGTAAATGCATGGCAAATAAATGCGATTTCCTTCCACTACATCAATAAGATCATCAGAGTTGGCATCATACCGAAGAGTTATATCAGCATTATGAATACGATATTCAGACAATATGGTTTTTACGGTATCTAAATCCAATTCGCTTTGAGGTACCTTTAAAAATGTATAAATACATTTTTATACATAGGCAAGTGTTACAAACTTCATATTGTAGGAGCTACATTTTGATAAAATGGATATCATTTGTTATGATAGTTGCTTGAGATTTTTTTTTTTTTCACATTTATTATCTGTATTGTATAGAGCCAAGCTTTCGACAGCAAGTGTTTAACCTAACTGGTTAAACTGGTATAAGCTGTGTTAGATTAAATAAATGGATGATGCTGAAAATCTTGGAATACTCCTTTTTTTTTTAACTCGATTAAAGATACTGTTATAATATTAACTACTCTTTATATTAAATTATACTTTTGTTAAAAAAAAGAATTATAAGATATTTTTTACAAAATGTAATCATTTTAAGGATTATAAAATATATTATACAAAATAGAAAAAATTACCATAGTTTGTAAGTTTATACCACCCTTATCTTTTCTACGAAATACAATATTGGGCGGCTGTTTATTCAGTCTAAGTCCAAAACCTTCCAATTCATGTTCAATCAATTTTTTATGTTTTAAAGGCTTAAGAACATCTAAGACTATAAAAATTAATGAGCATGTACGAGCTACAGCTATAACTTGACGACCTCGACCTTTACCATCTTTAGCACCTTCAATGATACCAGGCAAATCTAGAAGCTATAAAATGACAAACGATTCTTATAACTTTGATAAAACATTTGTTTATGTTACTTTTTTTTTTTTATTAAAAATAAATAATTAATACCTGGATTTTTGCTCCTTTATATTTAATACACCCAGGAACAGTTGTTAACGTAGTAAACTCATAGGCAGCAACTTCCGAATAAACACCAGCTAAGTTACTCAATAAAGTTGACTTCCCAACAGAAGGAAAACCTGAATAAGGGTTGAAGTATAATTTATTTTCTTATGAAGCAAACTCACAATAATTGTATACTGACCTACAAATCCAATTCTAGCATCTCCAGTTTTAGCAACATCAAATCCTTCTCCAGTGCCACCGCCACCACCTTTTGGTGTAATAAGTTCCCGACGTAACTTTGCAATACGTGCCTTTAACAAGCCCAAATGTCCAGCTGTAGCTTTATTTTTTTGAGTTCGAGCCATCTAGAATAATATAAGTAAAGTTAATACAAATAAAATAATTAAAAATATAATATACTTTACCTCGGCCTCGATGGCAGTAATCCTTTCCAAAATAGTCGACATACTTGAATATTGCTTTTAAGCAGAGGCAAATACTAATTTAAAAACTCTATAACGTTACACCATCCAAAACACCCTATTGATAAGGTTAAAATTTGAAAACATCAAAATACAAAATTATAGTCAATAATCAATAAGAAGTACTAAATACTAAATTAATGTGAATTTTACAAAATCCAAATATATAAGAGTTGTAACTACTAATTAGGTACTAAGTAGTTAGTCCTGTTACTAGTTTGTACCATAACCTCAATATCTGTGCCAGGCTCTAATAAAAATCGGGGTATCTTTTTTTTTTTTGATAACATTATTGGTTACTCTGTTACCAAACGAAAATAATAAAAAAAGATTGTTTTAACAAAAAATATTAAGCTGTTGTCATTAAAAATTGTATTTACATGAAGTACAAATGTTTTTTTGTATATTTTTAAAACGAATTTTATTGTTTTTATTAATTAATTTTTGAAAACAATAGGGTTACCAAATATGGTTAACCATTTGGTAACAATAGAAACACATCGATAATGTAATAAACAAAAAACAAGGCTTACTATCGTCTAACTCTATCACTTGGATGTTGAAAGTCTTAGTTTAGGCTTTTGGTAGATTTAATCTCTATTTTAGTATATACTAAACACTGATCCAATATCCACAGTTCCGAATACATTATATTAAAATAAAATCCTTTTAAGTTTTATATTTAAATTTTACTAGCCGATCGTATTTTACAATGGTAAGGAGAAGACTAGTTTCTTAAGCATGTCACATTACTCATAGTTAGTATGTTTTTTAGTCGCACACCATTTTGCTGATTCAGCCAGGCAACAAACCAGAAACCAGAACTTATTCCGATTACGAGTCTGTAAATGATTGTATGGAAGGTAAACATTTTGATTTGATAATTTGTACAATTTGTTTTAACAGGATACAATAATTTTTCCTTAATTGATGTTTTTATATCGCCAGATTACAAAAATAATTTCTTATACTCCAGTTTGTGAGAGAAGGTAAAAGCGCAGAAACTAAAATACATTTTTTTTGCATGTGTTTGCTCTGCCTAAATTAAGGTGTTTTGATTTCTGCCAAATTCCTTCTATTGTGGGCTTGAGTATATAAACATTTACATGTGTTATAATGAGTAATGATTATATAGCTTTTAGGAATTGCATGAAAAGTAGAAGTTATTTATCAACGTATTTGACACAGTAATTTAGGACATCAATCTTAATACTGGGTATGATTCCCACAGCCTTGTAAAACAAATCTGGTCAACCTCCCCCTCTTCTAACTTAAGCCTGCTCACTTGGGGAGCATTATAAATTAAAATTATAGAAAAACAATACTTTGTGTACCAACCAGGGACTGAAAATGTTTTCTTTATTTTTCGTTATATTGTTTAGTATTATGAAATGTTTTATAATTTTTGTGTTAAAACATTTTTTGTTATTGAATGATAAATAAAGTTTATTGATTAAATGTTAATTGTTTTAAAACATTAAGTAAAGGGTACTATTACTATTCGTACCCCCCTATTTACATATTTGAATAATATATATTAGGTAAAATAATTCACACTACACATTAATACAGTTAATAATAAAGTATTTACTTCTAAATTACTTAATTTTTTTTACCTTACAATTAGTCGGCATAATTAAAATGGCTACTAGATGAATTTTTGTGAAGTATTGCCTATCCTTTGGCCCTTCAATAAATAGCGCTCTAGCTTCCCTGTAACATTTAATGTACAACAAATTTTATTCTTCTAAAATTTGAATCATTTTTTACTGTAAAACAGTATAACAAAATAGTTATATAGGGAAGAATCATGGAGTTTGGAAAAAAATGAGTAAAAGATAAGTAGCATCTATGTGATTGAGGACTATGTCGTCAATCAAACATTAGGTTTCCCGTGTTTCCATTTATAGTGTTTGATGTTATAAAACGTTAACATTTTTTTTTTAAATTGTATTATCATTTTATGTTTTTAAGTGTTGTTTTTTAATGTTTTATGACTTATTTGTAAAACGTTTTTATAAATGATATTTTGTTTAAAGTTACAAAACGTTTTCAAGCCCCCTCGTACCCATCTCTCACTATTCTATATAAGCATGTATTTATAACAAAAAGTATACAATATATCCGCGGGTGTATAACTTTTGTAATAAGTGCATTATATAGAACATGCCACTTATAGAATGTAGGAGCTTGGTATACACAGTATATACCCTTAAAACCACATAACTAATGAATTGATTAAAGCTTTTATGGATTAACATACTATTTTGAATGTTTGAGGTTATATTCATGTCCTGTAATGATTCCGAAACATCAGAAGTAAGCACCAAATTTATGACAAGGATATAACTGCAAAAATTCAAAATAACAATACTTATTCTATATTAAATATATGATCTAAAACTTAAAATTTTTATTCTTTCAGGAGTTTGTAAGATTTATGAAGAACATTTGAAAAAATTAAATCCAAAATCTGTATCTATAACATACGATATAACACAGCTGTTTGAGTTTATTGACCATTTGGCTGACCTATCATGTCTTGTGTATGTTTAAAAATTCTATGGATATATTATTATAATGATGATAAATCTTTAATAAATATTATTATTTTTAGATACCAAAAAAGTACAATGACATATGCTCCATATAATAAAGATTGGATAAAAGAAAAAATATATGTGTTACTTAGATGCCAAGCTAACCAACGCCAATAAAGATTAAAATATATTTTTCCTAAAATTAATTTGAGGCTGTTTTCCTGTCAATATACTATGATTAATCGTTAGATAATCGATCCCATGGTTTAATGTAACAGGATTTATTGTAAGTTGCTAATGAGTGACATGCTTGTAATGATATTTTCCCCTGAATATATTTAATAATATCCATTACTATTTAATATTAGTTGTGACCAATCGTTTTCATAATATGACTGCAAGATACTAGTTATTTTGGTTCAAAGCTTTACATTTTCTCATTGTACTTTACTATCAGTAGTATTTTTTTTTTTTTTTAATATACATATATATATATTTATATAAACGTATGTGTAATTCTTTTTTTAATTAACCTAGAAAATTTGAGGCAGCTTAGAATTTAGCTTTGTCATTAATGTTAAAGAGGTAATATTTGGTCTAAATGTGCAACAATATTACAAAATATTTATATATTAAAATAAATAAATAAATTTATTATTATTAAAAATTAAATTAGTATTTATAAATCATTTTTTTTATTATTTCCACTATTATTTTCAACGTTGTTAAGTAAGTATAATTCATTTATGCTATTTTTCAATTTTTCTGATTTATTGTGTATTCTATACAAATTCCAGCAATACAAGTAACCCAGATTACTTACTAAAATTATGTTTTTTGTATTCATAATTTTTAATATTTGTGTGTAAAAATTTGTAATTTTATGTTTAAAAAAAAAATAGACCTTGTGTTTGATATTACATAACATATAGAGGACAATTAAAAGAGATTTTGTCATTTGCATAATCATTGTAGTGTGGATTCATATTTACTTTATACAATTTTTTATACAAATCGTCTAAACTTGTAATCTTTAAATAGTTTAATATCTTTTATTCATAGTTGATTTATCAACTCCGGTTGTTAATTTAACACTGCTACCTTTTTTATTATGTTGATATATTTAAATACCTAAAAAAGTACCTTAAAAATAAAGTTGCCAAAATATCACTGATGATTATTTCTGTTTAAAAATAATTTGTATTTATATCTTATAAGATATAAACTTCAGTTGTACATTAAAATATGCATCATTTCAATAAATTATACTTATAAAACAAATTATACCTAAATCTAAAACCAATCGTTCTGTAATCTGTATTCATGTCCTTACTTCTGATCCAAGAGCTAAGTAAAAGTATAGTTGCTGAAAGTTTGTATTTTATATTATTTTGAATAGAGTTTTCTTAGTGTAGTATAATGAATACCTAGGGTCCTTAAGTGTCATGCATGAAAATTATATTATAACAACGCCCCGTACGAAAAGTAGCACCGTTCGTGAGTTCTTGCGAAGACTACCACCGTTCTTGCTATTGTTGCCAACGGTGTTAGTTTTCGCTAGAACTTGAACGATGCTACTTTTCGTACGGGGCGTCGATAAATACTCAACAATTTTTTTGTCTACATCAAGATTTCTATAAAACTAAGAAAAATCGTTTTCAACGAATATGTATTTTTCTTTTGTTTTTTTTTTGTCCGAAGACAATTGATTAATATACTAATAAAGGGATTATAAAATCATCTTGTATAATATTCTTTAAACAAACTTTTGTTTGACAATAATTGACAAATGACACGTAACGCAGGAAGTTGATAAGGACTACAATTTTTCTTTTAATACGATTTACGGGTTGCTAGTGTGCTTATAAGTTATAAATTACAATATATATCAAATTGCATTTATAACAGTGTGTATATATATAATGTATAATATATATAAAAATGGTGAAACCGTGGTGAACGATCCATTATCATATATTAGGACCTGAAAATATTTGAGTAAAAAGTGTCTCTAATTTCAAATTTATTTGTTTAATATTGATTTTATTTTAATCGTCACAAAACTCGTAAAAATCATTAAAATCGTATTGTATGAAAAAACAAAAACAGTTTACCGGCACCCCTTAATATTGAGATAGAGCGTTAGAACTTTCAGGATCTTCTTTTTTTGATGTCAACTTTATATTTTTCAAGCGGGAGCAAACTTTTTATTTTTAACGGCCAGTCTAATATATATATATTAGTATATACTATTAAGGTCCCTCGACCTTCGCCTTAATAATCACTCCCCAGTCCCCTCTCCATCTGCCTATGACAGCAGCTAACTCTTCTTTCATGATCATTCAAAACAAGTTAAGATCCTTCTGTACTTTATCTACCCGTCTTTGTCTCTAGTGGTCTCTTGATGTCGATTTTGTGTTTTATCGGATTGCCCTCGTCCCCGCCGGCCGCCACACGTAACTTGCCCAGCTTGTTCTTCAGCTTATTAAAGTTACAACCACAGATCAATGAATGAATTTAATCCTCGTCGCAGTCCGTTTATTTTTAGCTTATTTCTTACTTCCGGATTAATCCATAGGTAGATACTTCGTTCACATTCTCCTTTCTCCGGCCAAATAATATTACTTATAATATTTGTATAAAATAATATTAATAATAATAACTAACTTATAGAACTCTTCAAATCTCTACCTAAAAAATATTCATTACAATTTATAAAACAACTGTTATAGGTACTAGGTCTTATACTTAAGTTGATTTTATTTGGTTTACTCTGGTTGATAATTTTATATATTTATATTTTATGATATTTTATAATTTTAGACGAGTTCATTCAAAATAAACCGTAAAAATTCAAAATCATTAAAACTGATCGAGTAGAGTGAATGATTAACAATGTTTGTCAACTTAGGTTCATTTTGTATGAACAATATACAAATTAAATAATGATATGCTTTGTAAACATAAGATATTTATTTAATTAAATTACAGAATACCCCTCGTCGTCTTAAAAGACGTTGGTGTCGAGACCTCCTAAATTGTAATGCTACCGTTTAATTTCTAGCCGAAACCTGTCATAGGGTCCTATCACTGGATAGCTTCCCTACTCATAGTCTACAAGTCATTTATTACATTGTTGTCATTTTCTTATTGTATATTTTGTATGTACAGATTGTAAATGTTATTTAAAAAAAAAATTTAAAAAAATACAGAATTATAAATTTCTATATTTTAACACAACTGGTTAAACTTAACTGTTGTCGATTTCCAATAAAATGTAATTACTAAAAATGTTTTGAATTACCAAGTACCATTGATTAGAAATAATATTATTTATAATCAATGCCAGTACCTAGCTAATGTTCTGCGATAAAACCTTTTTAAAAATACGTAAAAATCGTGTATACCAAAGTTTGAGCTAATTTAACTGGTACTAATGTAATACATATATAAATAGGGGCTTTACATTTTTGATTACATAATACTTATTTATATTAAATGGTTATTTATAACAGTTGTGCCTGTAAGATTAGGTATCTTAATAATAATAATATTATATAATTGTTGATTACATTTATTTAGATTACAATTTACATAATATAATATGACTTGTGTAAAAACTTGTAATACATTTAACTAAAATCTTAACAATGATAAATAATAATTAATATTTCAATAGGCTCAACTCTTAAGTAGCATTTATAAATATAAAATTTAACATAAAAGTAATAGTCTATGTTTTTATTAATAATTTATGAAAAAAGTATAAATAATTCATTTATAATTAACATTTGTTTTTCTAATAGACAGCAACATAAAAAAATTTTCAATATAAAAACAAACACAAATTTGTAAAAACATGTTTAATAAATAAACAAAATATTTTAATAGTTCCACGGTTTACATTTAAGTATTGTGTTTTTACATACAATCACATGTAAATAGTCTAACAAATGCTCTTTTCAAATTCATTTAGAATTATGATCGATTTGATGATTCTTCTTGGCGTTTTATCAGCTCATAGTAATGCCCTTGTTGAGCTTTTAATTCATCATGAGTTCCTTGTTCCACAATTTTTCCATTGTGAACCACTGCTATAGTATCGGCCGATTGTATTGTCGAAAGACGATGAGCGATAATTATGCATGTACGACCCTTCCGAGCTTCATCTAATGCTTCTTGCACAACCTTAAAACATTAAATATGAATTATAATAATTAAAAAAATACTCTTTTTTCCTGTACACTTACTTGTTCACTTTCCGTGTCTAAAGCTGATGTTGCTTCGTCCAATAAGAGAATTTTAGGATTTCTTATAAGAGCTCGGGCAATGGCTACTCGTTGTTTTTGTCCACCAGATAGTTGACTTCCACGCTCTCCAGCCAAAGTGTCATAACTCTACGAGTTTCATTAAGTTCATTATAGTTGGTTGTGAATATTTATAGAGTATGCACACTAGTGATGGGAATCGGAAAATCCGGATTTTCACAAAAAAAACGCTATTTAAGCTACTTAAAAATCATATAAGTGTTAAATAATTTTACAATATAAAGCTCTATATCTAAGTAACAATTTTTTGATAAATATGTGAAAATAAAACAAAACACCAAAGAGATAAACTGCTTTTGAATTTCGGGGATTTGTTGAAATCCGAAAATCCAGAATCCGAAATCCGAAACTCGAAAGCATTTTATAGACAAAGTTAAGAGTTTTTTTTAAAAATTTTTATCAACAAATTGTACTTAGATACACATCTTTATATTGTAATAGTATTTAATAATTATATGATTTTCAAATGACTTAAAAAGCGTTTTTTTGAAAAATCTGGATTTTCGGATTCCCATCACTAATGCACACACGATTGGATTGAATATTTATTTTTAATTAATGAAGTGTCTTACTTGAGTTAAAGATGTGGTTATAAAGTTGTGAATGTTTGCTTTTTGCGCGACTTCTATTATCTCGGCCATGGTGACTTCTCTGTCGGCGCCATACGCTATATTTTCTTTTATAGAACAATTGAATAATATTGGTTCTTGAGTAACGATTCCAATGTGTTTTCTCAGATGTTGTACATTTATTGCTCGTATATCGTAATCATCCACTTCCTGAAATCAATTTGCATTTAAGAGTTAGTAATTTGCTATTAAACGTTAAAATATAATTGAACGTACAATTACTCCGTTTACAGGATTGTAAAATCGCTCGAGCAATGATACAACGGTACTTTTACCACATCCGGATGTTCCAACTAATGCCAGAGTTTTTCCAGGTTCAACTGTAAAGTTCAGCCCTCTCAATACTCGTACATCGGGTCTAGATGGATATCTAAACCTGACGTCTTTAAAATGTACTTTTCCTTTAATATCCTATGATTTATAATTTTTGTTTATTTGTATGTCAATATAGAAATGTTTAACTTTTTTATTTTATCTTTTATCTTACTGGTTTTGATCCTGAAATTGATAATGGATCGATTTCAGATTTCCTCCAAATAAGTTGGAAAATCAATATGGCCGCGTTTTTGGCTCTAGCATAATCCTGCAAAAACGCCGATGTTTGTCCCACAGATGCTGCGCAGAATGCCAAAGCGAAGAAAACTCTAATAGCAAAAGTTAAATTTAATATAATTAAACGATGATTTTACTTATAATGTTTGAATATAATTACCTATAAATGTCTGCAGAGGACATGTCACCAATTTCAACCAAATACGCGCCATATCGAAATGCAACAGAATACATTCCGTATATTACTGCTTGAGAAACCGCATACATCACCGCATACGTGACTGCTTGTTTTTTGGCAGCTATAAAAGGGTCTTCGAGACTTTCTTCATATTGAGACACAAACATCAGCTCTTGAGCCAAACTTTGTACTGTATGTATATTGGCAACGGTTTCACACGCGATCTAGAATATAATATAAATTTACCAATAGTTTTTACACTTCAAAATTATGACCATCCATAAATATTTTATATATTTTATTCTTACTCGTCCTGCTTCGTCCATACACTCTAAATCTCGTTTCTGACTTTTTCTTACAAGCGTCAGTTGTTTGTACGCAGCGCCTGCAATAATCGGTACACCAAGAACTAGTACTATGGCTAATTTCCATCCAAAAACAAAAGCAATGACTAAAGCGGCTAAGAGTGTCACTAAAGCTGATATTACTTGTCCAGCTCGTAAACCTGCAGCCTATAAAAAACACCAATTATATAATCTGGCAACGTATTACATGTGGTGTACATACCGATTTTACAATAGGAGCATCTCTGGCTAATCTGCTAATAAGATTGCCAGGAGCTGAGCTTTTCAAATCAAACCAAAATATAGGTTGACGTAAAATATTTTCAAAGGCATTCACTCTCATACGCATAATTAGTTTTTCAGACGCACTTGTAAGACCAATAGTCTGAAAAAAAGTACTTACAAAAATAAATATATAATAGAATAGTTTCAAAAGATATTTGCAATTGATTTACCTGTAACCACCAAGCTAGCCCTGACAATAATGCCAACACAACAAACATTTTAGACCAAAAAGCCGCTTCGGTTAATAATGCGTCGCCTTTAAGTGTAAATGTCTGCAAACAATATTGTTACGTATTAAACAATTTGTATTAAGTACACATTATTTATGTTTACTTACAGCAAACACTTGTCCGTAAAAAAGTGCGAAAACAGGCATTATAGCACCAGTTAATGCACATCCCGTGAAACCCATCAATAACCATGGCCATTCTGGAGCATTTTGTTTTAATAAATCTATCATTCCTATTTCTTTGTAATCCATCTGAAATTATACAGAACATAAAATATAACACAACACTGACAATTGTATTATTTATTCCAAATAATAGTAGCAGTATAATAACTACGGACCAATCACAAATGACCATCCAAATTTACAACTAATACACACAACGTAATTACACATTAAAACAAAAATATAATTCTCAACTATGCTGTAAATTTAACTCCAAAATTTTCTCTCTCGTCACAAAGTATAACCTAGTGTAATCCCATTTTTCAAATATAAACATGACTTTTGATGAAGGCTTGTTTTTTGGTCGAAGTTGAGTAAATTATAAATTAAGCAATCAAATAACGGGTCAACTAGGGCTTTTGTGTTTTTATGAACGTTTTGGCTAGGACTAGACTAAAATTATTTGGCCTTTAAAGGCCGCTTAAGCTGTAACTAGATATTAATTGAATTATTTATCAGATCTTACGTGGTATTCGTGATCATCCAGAGATTGATAACCCTTTCTAGAAAATATAGATACATTTCTTCGACTGCTTTCTTTAAGACCTTCTATATCTGAAGATTCCCATCTAATAAATAGACGTCGTACATTTAATTGATTACTGATATTTAAACTTTAGAAAATTGTCAGTGATAACTACAATAGAAAACACTTACTGAGAATAATCATCTGGTTGGTTCATTGACATCAACGAAAAGCTTGTATTCCTACTTCTTCTTCGGTATGAAGACATTTTGTCCATTTCGCTATCTGTACTGTCCTAGATATTTGATAAATTTGTTTGTCAACAGTTCGATTTAGTTATTTCATAGTAATATAGGTATGCATTACATGATCTGAGTATATCATCCTTTTCACTTGGCGTGTAGACACTTTTCTGGTAACGCTCATTTTACGACCGTCAGATCCTTCTACAACATAGCTGTCCGAGTACACTTTTTCGGGCTCTTCTTCATTCTCATTAACTATGAAAGATGATTTTTTTACAGTTTTCGTAATTGTAACTTTTGATCCGTCTTCAGATACAGTGGTTTGAACGCTATAATATTTTATTTTATTTTAGTATGAATTTTAGTATTGCTCAGTAGTACAAAAAAATGGTAGGTATGAGGAGGAGGTGAAAAATAGGATAAATTGTTGATGGGTGAAGTGGAGGGGAGCGTCAGGTGTTTTGTAGGAGGATGCCTATAAGATTAAAAGATAGATTTTATAAAACAGTAAAGAGGCCAGAAATGTTATATGGATTGTTGGGCAGTAGACAAGAAAACTGAACAGAGGATGAGTTTAGAGAGACGAAGAGGAAGACTAAAGAAAATATGGATAGACGGAATAGAGTGATATGAGAATAGTTAAGGTGTTTGAACGAGATGTAAAAGATCTATGAAGGTGTAAGACTAGGGTGGTACATCCCCATGTAGTTGGGAGTTAAGGCGAAGATGAAGAAGATACATAATTAATTAATCCCACTTTTTTACAATAGAGTAGTTTAGTATAAAGGGAGTGATTTTAGACGTGGTTATTCCCCAGGCAAATTAAGTTTTAATCAAGTTAAAGATCAGACATGAGTATGTTCATGTTTACTGTGAATCTAACGTGTTTTACCTCAGAGTATAATATTTTTGGGGATGAGTTCACATTGAAAACCCACCTATCCTCATCCCCCGAGTAAATTGCGCATCCAATTCAAATAAACTTGCTAGTTTTGGGTATGACAAAGACTTCAAAAATGATATAATCTTGTTACTTATGTTGTACCTAATTGTTGTAAATTCATGGTTACCTCCCAAAATATCAAGAAGGCTTAATCAGGAATTAGGATTCAGGTTGATCCGATTTGTTCGTTGGGTGATCGGGTAATATTTCAAGGACGCTTGCATAATATTAATTTCGTCCGCATACTCTTTTACGTGTAAATTAGGCCACGCCCGGAGACGCATTTAATTGCATTATGTTACAATTTTGCATTGAACCTATCTAGTAGGCTATACCCATGCAAATAAAGCCTATAATCAATAGCCTTGAACGTTAATTATATATACTCAAATGTTAATTTCTATAACAATTATAAACGTTAAGATAAGTCATAAAATTCATCACCAGGGTCATAGTTCTTATAATTTAAAGTTTAACATCTTATGAGCGTTGAGCATCAATAACAGAAATTTATTAAAAACCCTTATTAAAATTCATTGACTATAATTAAATCACAAAGCCCCCCACCCTCTGGATTTGCGCCTGGGTACTAAACATACGTTTTGATAAAATTTAATTTAAAAAAAATGCTGCGTTGTTCTCGTAGAGGCTGAATAAAGTAACTTTTCCCTTAAACTTAAGTAACAGTTTTTAAAGTAAAAAAAAGAACTCAAGTTAAATTTATATAAACAAATCAGCCATAAAGTCTTTATAATAATAATAAAAAAAACCAATAGCCTTTGCTGCTGAGGGAAATAATAATAATAATAAAAAAAATTGTTTACTAATGATAACATTTTATAATGTTTTTATTTTTTGAAAATATAAACTCCTTGCTTTATTGTTTTTCGTAGGAATTTGTATTTTATTATAAAAAGTAACTTTTAACTTTCTAACTTTTTAATGGTCAGCTTTATTGATGTTTCTTAGAAATTATCTATAATAATATTATTAACTATAATAGTATACGTATAAAGTATTTATAGCACTTAGCAGTATGTTTTGATACTAGCCTCACGTTCCTCGATGAAGATCTGAGCTAGTAACCCCTTACGGCAAATATATCAATGATGATCGTTATAGATTGATGTCTTAATTAATTATTTTTTAGAGGTTTACTAATTAAATATAATAGTTTAAAATTGTTTATAATGATATGTATTAGCGATGAGTAATATAATAGTATAATAAGTAGTACTTAGTAGAAGACATTTAAAAAACTCCTATTTAAAATTTCAAGAAGAGATGTAAAGATGTATTATTGAATTGCCTCCATAACCCCCCCCCCCCTCCTTACACTACTGAGTAAGTATAATAAAAACAAATATTCCTACGGAAATAAGTCGGAATTAAGTCATTGTGTGGTACTGGTTACCACCAAGTGTTTATAGACATAAATTAAGGAAAACGTTAAGTTAATTTACTCAGTTCCACAGGAAATGGAAATGTACGTTTTTATAATTTATGTTTCTTATATTTTATAGTTGACTACTTACTCGGTACGTTCTCCATTTGTTTCTGTATCTTCGACTTCGAAATGGGGTTCAAGATCCGGACTCTAAAAAACACATTTAGTTTAAATAAAGATTACAAAATTAAATACTTAAAAATTAAAATTTACTTTAAGGCTAGTTTGTCGTCTAACAGTTTGCTTAGTTGCTGTTGAACCTGATGTTATATCTGTTGTTTCGTCTTCAGAATCTTCTTCCACATGATTTTCTTGTTTCAATTGAGCACTTACTAAATGCGAATAGAGACCATTCTGAGCCATAAGGGAGTCATGGGTTCCAGATTCCACCACGTTACCTTTCTTTAAGATATAACAGAAAATGTATTTATTGCGTGTTGCATAAATTAATAATAATTAATTATAAAATATTACTTGAAGAGCGTAAATGACATCGGCATTTCGTATAGTGGACAGTCTATGAGCTATAATAATAGTGCTTCTGTCTTTTTGTGCTTTTTCTAATGCATCTTGCACAACACCTTCACTATGTGCATCCAGTGCTGAAGTTGCTTCATCCAGCAGTAATATTTTAGGATCTCTTACTAACGCTCTTGCAATAGCAATTCTCTGTTTTTGACCTCCCGAAAGTTGAGAACCTTTATCTCCCACTAAAGTGTCATAGCCCTGATCAAATTTTAAAGTAAGTTTAAAAAAATAAAAAATGAAATATTAATTTGTCTTTTAACCTTTGGTAATTTTATAATAAAAGGATGTGCATTCGCAGTCATTGCAGCTGATATTACATCTTGTTGTGTACAATTTGTTTGGCCATACTTAATATTTTCGGCTATAGAGACGCCGAATAAAATAGGTTCTTGTGAAACAACTCCTATGTTTTCGCGAAGCCAATGCACGTTTATATCTTTTAAATTAACTCCATCTAATGAAACCTTGAAAGAAATAAAATTGTAGTCAAAAACAGTGTAAAATTCTAAATTAGCTAAATTTACATTTCCTGATTCAGGGTCGTAGAAGCGTAAGAGCAAACTACCGATTGTACTTTTTCCTCCTCCACTGGAGCCAACCAAAGCTACAGTTTGCCCTGGCTCTATAGTTAACGATAAATTATTTAAAACCTGCAAACATTTCAGTTCAAAGGTTACGTTATTTAAAAATTATATTTAAAATATACAATTATTATGTTGTTTGTTGAATTTCTTACTGGTTCAGTACTTCTGGTAGGGTATGCGAATTTGACGTTTTTGAACTCAATTTTTCCTTGTATTTTTTTCAACTTCTTTCCTTGGGTGGAATAAGGATCAATTTTAGGATTATTATCGATAATTTCAAATATAGTTGAAGCTGCACCAACTGCAATGCTGACAGAGTTCAAAAATGGCAAAGCATTACCAATAGAAAATGCACCAGCCATTACACTGAAGAATACCTACATAATATAAATATTTACATGAATTATTAACATTTTAATCACATTGAAATAAAAATGTGTTGTAATTTACCGTAAATATACTTCCAGGCGTTGATAATCCTTCAGCAATTAAATTAGACCCATACCAAAACGCTAGACCATAAGCGGAGTACATGATCACGAACACAGATCCCAACAATACTGCAAATACATAGTACTTCTTCATAGCTAATTTTCGGCCTTCTTCTATAGCTAACTCATATCTATTTATAAATAATTTATAAAGTAAGTTACTAATAGTACATGGGTATATAATGAGTCCATTATAATAGTTTTTATATAAAAGCACATTTAGAGCGATCACTGCCTCCTCCAAGGAGATGCTTTTTGAACGGTCGCTCTAGAAGGGGACGGGCTCCTTTGACTTTTTGCCAGTAAACGGAGCGGCTCGTGACCATATATATTATTTATATATAATATTTGAACAAAAAAATTACCTTTTAGATTCTTTAACTTCTCCACCAAAAGCCGCTACGGTCCGTATATTAAATAGTACTTCTTCAGCTATTCCTCCTGCTAACGCATACTTAGCTTGCTCTCTAGCTGCTGTACTCGCTGAAATCTACACGAAAAATTGTTTTTTTTTAATCTTATTAGATAATGTTAATCTTATTTTACTGTTCCATTTAATACTTTTTTTTTTGTATTATTTTACCTTCGAAATAGCACCGGAAACTATTATAAAAAATGGCGCGACACATAATATAATTAATGTCAATCTCCAGTTAACACATAGTCCGACAATAATACCAGTAAAAAATGTGCTCACATACTGTGTAACCATGCTGAATTTACTTCCAATACCTTCGCGTACTCTTTCTAAATCACTATAAAATAATTATGTTAGAATTAAACATTTCCAATTGTGCATTAATTTTTTAAACTCATACTCTGATAATTTTGTAGTCATGTCCCCTCCATCACTTAAGTCGTACCAACTAATCTCTTGTCTAAGTATTTGACGGTAAAATATTTTACGAAGACGATGAACTTGTCGTTCACAAGCAATTTCCCAACAAAGTGTCTAAGCAAACATAAACGTGTGATTATAATCAAATAATATTAATATTTTGCAACAATAAAATACTTATTAATGTTTCTATATGATAAAATTCAAAATTTAATTAAGTAGAGAAAATCGAAAACATGAAAATTCAATATACGATACTAAATTACATTTTATGAAATAATAGACTATAATATTAAGATATTAAATTTAAACAAGGTAAATCAAAAGCTATTTTTTACTTGTATAAATGCAGCGAATAATACTCCCACACCAATGTACAAATAGTACAGCGAAAATTTTGTCATGTAGTTGTAAAATTCTTCAGGACTCATTGCTCCAGAACTAGAATTACTTGATTGTACAGGACTAATCGTTGTTTCTCTATAAAAGATAATAACAATAAAAAATAATTATAACAAGCTTCTATCAGAGAAGCACTTTAGTTTAAAGGTTAAGATTTCAGCTTGTTTTTTCACTATAAATCATGTCTTACAAAAATGGAGATGATCCTTCGTAGAATGATCGGAAAATATATTTTGTTTGAAAGAGGAAGATTTCCTGCAGGGTAAATTGACCTTTGGTTTTTAAAAATTAAATTTTTATACGGATATTGTAATTTGTAATAAAAAGCTTGAAATATTACAAATTGTTTGTCATTTTTCAAATTTTTGTTACATAATAAAATATTGGAGGTCAATGCGCTCTGCAGCAGGGGTTCTTATTTTTAGGGGCCTGCGCGCAACCGGTTTTTATGGGTAAAACGGAAAAAAGTCTCACGCCTCGTTCAGTGGTTTGATTACAATAATTTTTTGTTGTTGTTGGAAAGAGAGAGATTTTCTACAAGGTGGATTGGCCTTAGATTTTCAAAATTATGCTTGAACTAAAATAATACATAAATATCGGATCATTCAACGCAGTATTCCTTATTTCTAGAAAATCAATTCACCGCCAAAATTACTATAACATATTAGTAATATATATTATATTAACTTAAAAAAAAGTTAAAAGTGTTCAATATTTATTAAAAATACTTTTTATTTAAATATTACATTTATTTTGCTCCTTAAAAATGGTTTTAGGCTTAAGATTATAAAACTACATACCCTAAATCTATTCCTGTGATAGTATTGGACGTAGTAAGTCTTTCCATTTCTGACATAAAAAATGCACCCAGAGTAGAACTTTGGCCATAAAGTGGTGAATTTGTTACTATGTCACTCAATGTGCTACTATTTTGAGATGCATCTCCAACCGTTGTTAGAGATACTTCGAAAAGTGGATTGCTTGTACTGGTACTTATTGCAGATGTGGCGACCTAAAATAGAATATTTAGTTTTAATCAAGGTTTTGTATAAATTTGTCTAAATATTAGAAATAATTAAGTAATTATTACCGCAGATTGTTTAATGAAAGTATTGGTCATTTGACCGAATACCAACGCCAGTATTGGAAAACTTGATCCATGAATTGCAGAAAATAAGATACCGATGAACATAAGGGCCACATCTCCTTTGCTAGCATATCGAAACTAAAAAAAAAAATATGTATAAAGCAACATATTTCAAAAAAGCGATTTCATGTACATTGCAATTGAAGTCTCGTTACATTTATTTTTATTTATAAATTATGACAGTTTGACGTAACAGACTATACTTCTATTAAAAACTTTAAATATAAAATGTAATTACTAATTTGTAACACTTATAAGTATTGTTGCAAAACATTAAAAAAAAATGCAGTACAGTGGGGTCAGGGCATAGCGGGACGGGTAGGAATTATTATAACTGTAATTGATTAAATTACTATGAAAGCTTCGATGCGAATCTGTGGCTAGTAGGATCAAACCAGTAAAGTCCAAACCAAGGAAAGTAAGAAATTATTTTACGTAAGTGAGTAGTACTAATAAGTAGTAGTAAGTAGTAGTAGTCGTAGTCGTAGAAATAGTAGTAGTAGTAGTAGTATATGAGTAAGCAAAAGAAGTCCAGTGTTCACAGACAAAAATACAAATATCGATAAAAGCATTGTATATAATGACAGTTATGAGCTTGAAAATTAAATTTTAGTATTAAGGTTACCGTCTGTCTAAAAAAATGAATTACCATACTTACCCATATATCGTAATTAACAATATAATGAACATATTTTCATTACCTGTTGACTGTTGATTCACTCACGCATAGCAAACTGGAAATTGACTACAGTCAAAGTGTAATATTACCCTTTTTTTTGGGGGGGGGGGATTTATTCTTAATAAAAAAATAATTTGACAACAGATTTTTGAGAAAATTGTATATGTTAGAGTTCCATTCTAGATCTACCTTTGGTCTGGTTTTCAGGCCTAAATTCCTAAAACTGCTTGAAGAATGAAGTGAAAGAAAGAAAACAATTCTATCCCTTCTTGGGGAAAGGGTTTACGATATTTTATTGGTTTTCCAATGTTTATTGATAGTACTATATTGAAAGAATGCTTCATTAAAATTTGGAACTAATTCTACTATTTTTTTTAAAGTTATAGAGCATCGTAATTTTATGTTGAAAATTATGTAATTTTGTTGGGTGTTTTTCTCTATTTTGAAGGAGAAGGGGTTCATTTTTTAAATTTTTGGTCCAAAAAAATACCTTACAGGTAGGCACGATCTATAGAGTTCCTACACGAAGAAATCGGTTTAGCGGTTTAATATCGTGTGATATAAACAGATACAAAAAAAAAAATAAAAACACATAATTGTAATTTGTAAAAACAATACCTTCTCAGCTCCGCATCTAAGCTAAAATAGTTTTAGTTGTTAACATTTAATAGTATGATTTATAAAAAAATAATCACATTTTGTATTTATTAAGAAATAATAAAGTCCGTAAAGCATGGTTTTTTATTTCAGATAATCATAAAAATATAGCCTACATTGGTATTTTTGTAATATTATCAATTAAGTTAATACAACGATGATTAATGATATAATAATGGATTCTGTTTGTTGTACTATAAAAATAATGTAAATAGAGCTGTAACTACTATATTGATGGTGATACGTTATGCTGGGAAGGTCTTTGGTATGTGCTGAAACGTTGACTTATGTATATCGTGTTGCAAGAATAATTCTATATTAGAACCAGTTTCCACTACGATATATGTACCTCCATATATGATCATACAATCATTTACGTTTTATTCAAAATATAATAAATTCAAACAATCAATACATAGATGCTCTTATAAAGTTAAACGCGTTGAACATTTTATAAATAAACATGAAATTGTCTAGATAAGTCAAAAATAATCGTAAGAGTAGTTTCAAAAACCGCTATTTTTTCAAAAGCCCCCTCCCCAAAATTTGACTCCCGAGAATAATTCATCTACATGGTTTAAAATCAACCCCCTCTTCTTAAGTGTGACATTGTTTAATTCCAATTAAAACTTACTAAGTTACGTATAGATGATCTCTTTGCTTCCTTCTTTTTCACTGTCCTGTAAAAAAAAATATAAAAACTATAATATTAAATATTATTGTATTTGAAATACTTTTAAACGATAGCAAAATATAATATTATTAAAATAACATTACAAATATATGAAAAATGGGGGTAGACATTCGATTAGAGTATTTTTATTTTCGATTAGTGATAATTTTCATAATATAATAAGTGGTTAAATCAGCATATTCATAAAAAATACACAAGATGTATGTTTAAACATATTAACATATTAAAAAAAAATGGCTACCAAAGAATGTTAATATAATACCTCTGTAATTTGAGTACCTTCAAAATTACTATAGACGAACGCGAAGCAATAAACTAAACCGTTCTCACAATAAATAAAGAAAACATCTTTTTTTTGTTATAAAAAAATTAATTAAAATTAAAATACTGTACATTTTTGTTTCTGATAATTTTCAGAAATAGACGAATGACAATTTTACATTCTGTTACACACAATGATGTGAAATATAATTTTATGTGGACAAAAGACAATTTATATTTTCTATGGTATTATAAAATTAATTACAAACGATGTTCGATAATACATTAGAGTAAACAACTTATACAGTATAAACAATGCATTATCAACCAATATTGCGTAAAAGCATAAATACATTTATGAAAACAGTGACAATACCGTCACTGCGGCTACAACTGTAAAAAATGTAATTGTCTGGATTTACTAAAATCTCAATCCAAACAAAACATTTCAATCATTTTTTTAAATGTTTTTAAAAATTTGTCTAACTGTTAAAATGTAATGTATGGAACGTCATTCATTATTGGTAATCGTTCAATCTAATTTATAGGAAAAAAATGTTTTTATCAAATTACCGGCAAAATACGGACATCAATACACAAAATAAAATAAGTATTAACTAATAATCATTTTATTAAAAAAATATATTTTTGTGTTATAACTACAGTGAATAGTAAATAGGTAAACTTTTTGTAAGTGATAAATATTTGAAACAGTATACGATTTGAATGCATCATGTGTTATCGTGTTAAATAATAATTATAAATATAAATTCATTATTTAACTAAATGCATTATCTCGTGCATTGTGTCTATATTTAAAAATAATTGTTCAGATTATAGATTAATTACAATTCGGTGTTATCGTTTGTACACAGTTTCAACTCAAAATTACCTTTTGACCGTTTATATAACATATCAGACATCTGTGGATCATTTAGAAAAACAAATCATTACAATAAATACCATCATTCATCACTAATAAAGTACATATTTTTCATTCATATATTTGGTGTATTACTTTAATTTAAAAAAAATGTTATCATCCTTATTTAAATACTGGTTTTAAATAGCAGTAAACCTTGAAAAATTATAAATTAAGTATTTTATTCTTGGCTATATGCCTTTATGCTATACAAGGAGTGACTTTTCAATCGAGCCAAATTATTACAAATTCAGGTAAAAAGAGGTAAAAATTCTCTATGCGTTACATAAAACACGCGTGTATTTGCGTTTGAGTGTCTTATAATGTATAATAGAAACGATTTTAGTGACTAGTGGCTACATATTCTTCCTTTGAGTTATCTAACACTTAAGTAGTTGGTACAATATCTACGTGCATAACATTCACCACAATGATAATTATATACCGTACGCGAGTTCAGTATTAATACCAATATAAGTTAGTTCATCTTTCAAGCTGTCATTATTTGAAAAATCCCTACAATTTTTCACACCAGTATATTCATTGTAGTCTTGTTATAACTTTAATCTGTTTAAAAATACAGGTGATATAGGGCCAACACGATTTGTTAGTGGTCTATTAGTAGCAAAACTACAATAAATTATGGTTAACCGAATATTAACTATATTTTTAGTAGATGTTTTCATGCATCTTTTTCTGCGAGCACTTATACACTTTAAAAGTAATCGTAAAAACGTGTTTATGGAAAAGCGTGTAGGTTAAAGCGAAATAGTTCTAGAAAAAAATGTTGATACCGTTAAAAAGAGAAAAACTTAAATTAGGTCCTCTCGTCATTTTTAAAAAAAAAAATTAAATTATACCTTAAATACATTAAATACCTTAAATGCATTTAAAAAATAAAAAAAAATAGAATTAAAATATAAATTATGAATGTTGGGTTAATAGTATAAAAAAACCGACAAAAGAACCTAGATAAAGTTCTCAGTATTTAAAAAAAATGTAAAAAAAATTCGTTTACGATTATTATTTAGTCAATAATATAGAATATGCGTAGCTATGTTTAAATGAAGTTTTTTTTTAAATCGCTGTCAATGATGCTGTGATAGTCCGAAAAATAAATGAACTATCAGAACAATAGTCCTAGTTACTGAACTATAACTTATAATATTACACATCACAATACAACTCTGTTATAAATGGGGGTATGACGTCCTGTTAAAATTTCAAAAAACACAATCTTACGTATTTGTATGATATGTTACCACCATTAATATATTCACTATTCAGTGTTACCTTGAATAATTTACAATCAGGGAAATTGTTATGCAACATTTTAAAGGAAGAATAATAAAACATCTATAAATTATAATCTAAATAATTGTCTTTAGAAGTTTTGGAATTATTGTAAAATACGCTTATTGGCTCATTAATAGTTATTATAATAATTTTTGTTTGTAACAATATATCTTATATTATTATACTTAATTATTTACGATTTGGATGGCTAATGGCGTATTTCATAACACATTAAGTGTTACGAAATATATTAAATCTATATTGTCAAGTAAACAATCTGAATACACTGAAGTTAATGTATTTATATAATTTATATTTTAACTGTATACCTATACGAAGAAATTAGTCCAGCGATTAATATCTGAGGGTTTAGACTGATTAGACACAAAATAAATAATTGGATTGATGTTTTTTTATGAGTGTTGCTTAAAAAAATTCTTTTAATTCTAGCATACTTCTTAACTTTTGCTACCTGGAACCGGTTTTTTGTCGTCGGTAGTTTAGGTTAGGTTATCCGTTAGAGATCGCCGTAACATCTATTACCAGTTTACTCCTTTCCAAAATTCAAGTTAAAGAAATAAATTTTCAATTTGGCAGCCTATCAAGAGTCAAAACTAAAAAGCCAAGACAGCCCAGTGAATATAGATGGGAAATAAAAAATTTGACGTGTTTGCATTTTAAGAAAATATATATGAATATTGGAAATCCCACATGATACAATGTTATTTTGTACAGTCTTCATACCACAAAATTGTATTAATAAAATAGGTTTTATGAACAGTGGACTAGTAATAAGTAGTGGTGGCGTAATTTTTAAATTTTAAAATTCCAATCTGAAAATGTTGATAAAATTGTAAAATATTACTAATAAATAAACACTGATTAGTTTATCGTGAAGGATAATATTACCCAACATTGCCTAATATTAATCTTTTCAAAATCACTTTCTGTAATTTTGAATTTTTGAATATACCCAAGTATATTTCAAAGTTAGAATAAATTTTTATAAATAGACAAGAAAAACGAACTGCCAACAATCTAAATTTATTTTATAAAAACGTGAGATACATAATTTGCCAAAACATGTGCCAGAAGGGTATTTCCAGCTGGAGAATTCAAAAATACTTATAAAATACCAACAACATTCAATTAATAAAAATATACTATTTTATGTATAAATTATTAAGGTACTGTAGTACATATAAATCTAATAGCATACAATAATTAAAACTTATTTAGTATTATAATATAGTATTTATTATTATAAATACTAAGTATAAGATATAAATTTAGCTAATCGTTTTTATGGTTAAAAATAAAATTATGTATAGCCATACTGTTAAAAGTAATTTTAATAATATTTTTAAAGTAATTATACTTTAATGATATATTTTGTTTTATTACATAGGTATACATAAGTACAATTAATGTCCTTACGAATAAAAAAAATATTATTTATAAACTTTCATTCTAAATTAAAATATATTTATCAGAAGGAATAAGTTTAAAGTTGTAACAAACCCGTATTTTGTGTAGTTAACCGAATCCTTGCTCTTAGCTACGTCTTTTAATAATCCAATGGATTCTTCATTTTTTCTACCGAACGCCATGTAAGTATTCTTAGATAAATATTGCACTATTGACTAAGTATAATTTTAAATACACTGACATAAAAAAATTTCGTTTAAAAAATATTTAACTTATGATTAGTTATTACCATCCGTTAGCTAATTTAAATAATTGTACAGTTAATAAAATATTATTAAAATAATGATATTACATAAGATGCCCGAACGCATCATACGCTAGTACTAAACTCTGAAGATGAAATTCTAAAGGAATCTACCACCCGTAAACCGGGTTCACATGATGTTGGAACAACCGGATTGGTTTTCCACTTCCACTGTGTGTAGCTCAGACAGCAGACTGTGCCCCGCACCGTCGTAAGCACATATCTTCAATGTTATATTTTGAATTAAAGAAAAATAAAGTGCCGTGTTACGTAACTGGTTAAATTCTCTGGTGATAGCTGTCATGAGAACGGCAACGATAACCTTTTGTTATTAACCATGTTAAAAGTATTGAGATGCTTGTCCGAATCTAAAATGCTAACACTGCTGTCTATACTCGTATCAGTTTTTGAGGTTTTGGGTTCAATTATCTTATTCACAATTTGATGTATTGTAATATCTTTTTAGATTGTATTACAACATACAAATATTATGTCCAATCTAATCTAATTATAATGTAAAATATTAATAGTACAGTGTACCTTAAAACACTAAGAAACATAATATAAATAAACAAGAACATAATAATATATACTTTAAAACAGAAGTGTGAAAAATAATGTTTATCATTAATTAACATATTATCATTAACATAACTGCAGCCCTTTATTCTATAAATAAACGCTCTAAATCTCTTAAAATGTATTCATTAATTGTTAGTAAGTTGTAGTATATTAGTGTATTGATTAGTTAATTTTTAGGTTTGTACCATTCAGATTAGTGTGGCTTATCAATTACACAGAGGAGGACAGAGGAGGTTTTATAAATTGTCCGCCACTTAAAATCTAAAATTCTGTCACTCCTAGGAATTGTCTATATCATTTCTTATACCTCAGTCATCTAGATGGCTGGTTACACTATTTGTGTCAACTGGGTGATTAAATAATGATAAGACAATCTTTTTCTCTTAAAATAATTGCATTTTTATAGTTTTCTTTTTGGAGACATTTTAGTTTATGTTGTTTTACAATATTAGACAATAATCAAATTTTTTTACAGAGGTCCATCAACTTTTAAAACATAATATGGTACGTATAATATCTTTATTTAATTTTTTGCAAGTAGAATCATTTACTGAAAATGTTGACTGGTCGATAACCAGTTTTGGATAATTACTTTTTAAGTTGTTAAAGTTTAAAAATTAAGGCGTGAGGAAAGGTTAAGTGCAGTATTATTTTCATCTCCGTGCATTACTCTATCGCATTCCCTCTCCCGTCCCCACCTATACTAGGTGGTAGGTTCCTAACCGAATAGGTATAATATTATGGTACTTATTATAAGAAAACAGAGCTCCTATAATAATATTTCTCTAGGATTCTATAAAATAAGGTATTTTTTCTAAATACAACTACGTGTATGTCATCTATTAACATTATTATGTTAAGCTACGTTTAGACACACGTCTGACATCTTAACGTTTGTGTTTTATGAATAAATTGTGAATGGCGAATGCTTATATTCGCCGACATTCAAAACACGATCCAACGCCAACGATCTTAGATGTAAGCAGTAAGGGTACAAATTGCTAGCATAAACGCTCTCGAACGTTCACGCTTGTGTCTACAGTATTCTGATAAAAATAGACTTGGGTAATTTCGATTATCTTATCGAACTAATACTTTATCTTTTTATTTGTATTATATCTAATAGTTTTTTTTCAGAGTGGCTTGTATCGAATTTATTCCATAATTTATAATTGTAAATGCCTGCACCATGTCGTTTCATAGATTAAAATATTAAATATTCTTGGATTTTTAATCTCCCATCTTTAATTAGAAATAATAAAAAATACGCATAACTAAATATTTAAAAAAACTACTCTGTCACGTTCTCAGCTTAATCGTTTTTCTGTAATTTGTTTATTTTTAGATTAGGAAAAGAAAAAAACAGTCTGCTGCCATTATTGGCAGCTGTATAGATGTGCACGTTGGCGTACTTATAATTTTAAGGGAAGGGGATATGCATTGTCAAACATTTTATTAGGGGTGTAGACTATAGTTTATACTTTATTCATGAAGAGAAGTAACCGGAACAGAAACCAAAACGCGTGTACTCTGCCTAGTAGAGGCTAAAGCTTTTGATTTTTCCAGATAACATATAATTTTCCCAGTAGCGGGTAGGTAGTAGATGCACACGCTACACTTGATTCTAGTCCCCTGGATATTAATTTTAAAAACATGATAATAATAAATTTGGTAAGTGAATTTTTAGGAGGGCTTTTATAGTCTGAAAACCCTCTTATTTGCATCACTTAAATTTAAATTCAAGTGAAAATTTAGCATAAATTGTAAATGTAAATTGAAGGTAATATTTCACGGATTCTTGTAACTCAACAATTTAAAGTTCTCTGTTCTATTCTAATTTTTTAAATCAATGTTTTTTTTTTAATTTACGTTTATTGATAAAAATGTATATAGATAATTAATACAATTTACAAATGTTGAAACTTGTATGATATGTAAAGGTGTAGGAACTTTGAAAAATTCATATTAGATTAGAAATACGAAAGAAAACTCTAAAATAATAAAAAATTAATAATTAAAAAGTGCCATTTCCGGAATCCGGATAACTTCCTAGAATTTCAAGTTAATCTTGTAACATATGTTTTACTTGTAGAACGTCTTTGGTATTTTAAACATTGTTATCTTTGATATTTTGTCCGTTAAATTCTACACAATTGCAGCGAATTTGTGTAATGTAATTTTTAAACCAATCAGAGCGCAGGGATCCAAAACGTTAACGGTAGGGTGGTAGGGAAATGATCGACTAACGTTCATCGTTGTGACTTGTGTAATGTGTGTGCAGTGTATTGTATTGGTATAAAACGTTATTCGGTAAACTACTTCATTTTCTTATTCGATTTTGCATCAAATCATTTTTCAAGACGAATGATACGCCGTTCTTGTTAAGTAGTATAGTTATAGTTAAATTGTCATTATAATTTTGTTGAAGTTAAATATTTTAACCATAAAAGACAACGTAAATACAATTGTAATTTATCTTGTGCAAACATATTTTTCTTCGTATTATTGAACAGAAGTATTATTTCTAAAATAATTATAATCAATGGCTCAAAACGTAAATCCTAGACTTGAAAGTAGTTCTTCAAATTCTCCAAAAAGAAGTGAAGATATGAGTGACAAAATTGAATCCAATAAAGTCGTACAAAGGTAAGTGAAGACAAACCGGGAATTTAAATAACGGTTTTTACTTATATTTAATATAATGTCAATAATCACGATTATAAAGTTCACTTTTTGATTTTGCATCTTATTTGTCTGTTTCAGATTGCAAAAAGAACTTATGAGCTTAATGGTAAATTTATACTAAACATAATTTACTTATCCAATCTACATTCAGTATGATTATATGATAACGTTAAAACGGTTTAGCTTAATAACTATTAATCTAGAAAAAACTTAAGCAATTTATAGTTGTATATAATAAAGAAAATAATATTTAAAACCCATAACCATAAAATAATACACTCTCTACAGATAAATCGGTGAATATTTGTAACAAAATCTAATAACTCTAGTATGATTGTGATAATAAAAATACAAAATGAAAAAGCCGTGTTTAATTGATAAATCGTTTTATATGTTTAAAACGGTTTTAATTTCTTCAACTACATAGCGTGAGCTTCCTTATTTTAAAAATGGGTTGATGTTTTAAAGTGTTTACATAACATGAATGCATTATAATATCAAACCATTTTAATGCCATTGTATAAACATACTAATTGATACCTTTAATCATAAGCTGGATAATTCTTACTATCCCAAATCTGGTCTTTTACAACTTAATTTTTTTTAGGCTGAATGACTTGCACGTTAGGGCTTCCTAAAAATATTTAAAGATAAAGTTAAATATGTCTTATTCTTTTTTTTTTAGAAACTGGTTTATTAAAGAACATACCAGACATAATGTATGGATATGTATAGGATCGGGTCTAAAACACTACTGTCAAAAATAGTATGATCTGTTTATGTTTGATCTGTGCAGATTTTAATGTTAGATAGCATTAAAATAAAATATCAAAAAAATGTTATGTTTATTTTTACTTTGAAATGACATGACATATTTTCTATGATTTTTATTTTCTGATTTTTAATCTAAATAAAACGACCTTAAATTTCTTGGTATTTTAATAGCAAAAATTTGATAACAAAATTTTGTTTTCTAAACTAAAATTTAAAACTTGTATTTATAACTTAATGGCTTGACTTTTTTAATTTTTGATAAAATAATGTGGGGACCTAGTTAAGTGTCCGTCTGCTCAAAAACTGGAGAGATATTTTCTATCTGAATTTTTAGGAAGTTGTGTTGACAAAGCTGAGGCTATTTTTTAGTATATCATTATTATTGTAAGTTGTGGTAGTCTAATAAAAAATTATTATTACTATTTTTAGATGTCTTGTGACCAGTCAGTCTCTGCTTTTCCGGATGGTGACAATCTTTTTCGATGGGTTGCTACTATTGTTGGTCCTAAAGATACAGTAAGCATTATTTTTAGTTGAGTATGCTAATTTACGAGTAACTATGTGTCCTCATTACAAATATATAATTTAGGTTTATGAAAATTTAAAATATAAATTAAATATGGAATTCCCCCGTGGCTATCCGTACAAACCACCAACTGTTACATTCATAACTCCATGTTTTCATCCGAATGTTGATTTTGAAAGTGGTGCCATTTGTTTGGATATATTAAAAGATAAATGGTCTGCTATGTATGATGTCAAAGCCATTCTTATATCATTGCAATCTCTTCTTGGAGGTAAGTTAAATCTTTATTTATTTTTAAAGTAGGAATATAAATTTTGATACCCTAAAATGTATTATCATAAAAAACGAAGAGTTATTTTTAAATTATCCAAATTTTTTTTTTTTTTTAATTATTATCTATTTAGTCTTAAGGGGAATGAATAGCGCAGAATTTTATACAAATACACTCTAAAACGCAAAAACACTTTCCGAAGTGACTACCAAACTAATTTCGAAATTTTTGTTTGTTTTAAAGTTTAACATCTATTTTATAGCGGCTAACCCCCTAGTTAGTCGTATAATTTTTGGTCTCGCTTATATAAAGTGTTTATGCCAGGTCTGCCATGTGTCGAGTAAAACCCAATTTTTGTAGTTTAATTTTTACACAAGAAAATATGATGTTTAACCTTCTCATAAATATGTACATTTCCTATAGAAAATGCATTTTAAATATTTCCCTGCGTATTTATATAGGGAATCAGGTTTATTTAATTCCAAAATGCTTATATTCAACTAGGAAATTAATTTATAACATCTTTTACTTATTTGCGTTTAGAACCAAATACTTATAGTGCCAAGTTAGATGGATTATCACGCATCCACTACATGTTAGCTTAATATTATATAATGTAAATGTTTTTTTATATTTTGATTGTATTTTTTTCAGAGCCAAATAATGAAAGTCCTTTAAATGTTAAAGCAGCACAACTGTGGCCTAGACAAGAAGTTTTCAAAGCAACATTGTTAAGCACTTATAAAGAATCCGAATCTAACTGATACTTCAAAGCTGGTGTAGGATTGTGTCAAACAATAATATTTTTCATATATATATATATAATTATTAATTAGTAAAAAGATTGTCTTTATTTATTTTTTGTTTGCCTGTAAAGGATTGTTTCTCTAAACTACTAGTTATAACGGACGCCAGAATGTTTATTTTCTGTATTATACAACTCATTTAATATTTTAGTACTGATGTAATTCTTATCATAGTTTCATACAAATATTTATTTGTGTATTTTGTATGTTGAATATGTTTTTTACCATTATGTTAAATTAAAAAAAACATTCCAACTTAGGTTTCAATTTAACGATAAAAATGCTTTTGCTTAGGTTAACAGTCTGTTGTGTATTATCTAGTTTTGAGAATGTCATAACTTATAATGAATTTACATTTGACCCCTTTATAACTGTATTCCAATTTGTTAAAAGGTCATTAGTCGATAAATTAGAATTTTTGGGAAATTGATAAAAACATATCATATGCACTGTTATATCATACGAACATAAAATATTCATTTATCTGTCGCATCTGTCAAAAAAAGTGAAAATGGCTGAAATGAAGAATGATACCCTTTTAACAAATTGGCATTCAATTGCTTTATAATTTTTTTTTCTCCAGTGAAATTTGGTTAACAAATTCTGGAGAAAATACAATTTGGATTAAAAAAACGTGTTTAGTATTTGAAAACCACATTCGAAATAAGCCTCTGATTTTAAGTTGGCTAATAAGGATTAGATAAATAAGTAATAACATGATTTTGTATTATGAAATGTTACATGTTTTTTTTTAAATAACCTTTTATAGGCTAATCTTTATCAATATAAGTAGAGCTTCTCAAATATTAGTGGTCAAAACAATATCCTTGAAATAATATATTATAAACTGTTCGAACAGTCATTTTTACTACACAGTTGAGTTTCTAGTTGTAAAATGTGAGTACTCAGTTTTACTTAAATTTTAGAAAAAATAATTATAATTGTTAATTGTCATTATAAGTAATTAAATATAATATAATTATATAAACCCATGGACATTTTAAAATGGATACACAAAACTGATTAATAAGTTGAAACTCTGAATATGACCAAAAAATAATATTTAAATTTAGAAAAATAAATTAAGTCTTTATTAACTAATGTGATAACTAAACGTTAATGTGTTTAATTTAATAACTAAACATTTTTTTCTGAAAAATTACCAATTTGGACTTACAACTAGGTTGATGGTATGAAGACTGATAGAAAATATTTTCATTTTAGTTATTATTGAGGAAACGAAGTGAGTTAATTTATATTTTAAATAATGACAATAATTTTCTAGTTTTTCTACTTTTTTCTAAGATATTAATATACATATTTATATCTTAAAAACTTAATAATTAAACAAAATATCACCAATGTATTAGTATTCAATAATCAAATTAATAGATACCTGGTGAGTTCATAGAACAGAAGTGGGAGATGACTAATTTCACTTTTCAGGTACTATAGCATAAATTCCCAAACCCATGCAAATATAAAAGCACAAAACAGATAAAATTAGTAATTACTATTATGAAAAAAAAAATTTTCTTCCCTCTTCTACTTGCCATTATCGGACTTTATGGATTCAGCTAAATGGTTGTCGAATGTCGACCGTCACCCTTAATTAGGTCAGGGGCGAACAGACAGGGAGAAATAAGTGTACAAGAGATGGCTGATCGATCTCCCCATGGTCAATCAGTTCTTACCATTATTTATTGACAGAATAAAAATTCAAAATTTCATTTTTGATATTGATTAAAAAAATTTCTGTAAGCTGTTATAGAACAGCTGTTGAATTTCGATTTTTTATCTATTGCTATTACACAATTTTTTCCTTTGATATTAGATATTTTTTCGTTCTCGTTTTTTTCCAACAGGGTAAAGCGCGGACCTGTCACTACGATGAAATAGTCGGTTTTCTTTGTCACGATAAAACACGTCGAACAAAACTGAAGTGTGGGTAAAGACCTCAACCTTATCAAAAATGTAACTATTGTACTATAAATACTTTGTATGTTGGAGACCAGAGTAGTCATTATTTTTCATTTTATTGGGGGTTTTTTTTAAGGACAATTTTTTTAATATCTATAAAAATATCGGTATGCCAAATTTGAACAGAAAAAAAAAGCCTTTAAAAGACATCTCTCATATTTTTTTGATTTGCTCCCCGAAAACATCACAATTTTAATGTGGCTAAATATTATTTTACTGGGTCCTTGGTAAAGTAAAATAAGTTAATTTTAACCTAGGAAGTTCGAAAAATATTATGTGAATTCATATTTATATTCATATCAACAATATTTATTTATTGTATATATTTATATTTATATTTATAAGTCTAGTGACTAGTACTTATAGCAGAGTTAAGCATTTTTCATTCGAATTTATACCATTTAAGATGATTTATTCGAATTACTATTTTATCCAAATTGTGCAGGCGCATGGCGGAGTGAGATAAGGCGGCAGTGTATCAACGCACGGTCGCCGATTCGAAATTCGAATCTCGGCCACTGACGGTTTGCCGTTTGTTTCTCCGGCCGAGCAACTGCCTGGGGGAAAAATGGCCACATGAACCTCTCTCTCGGGCTAACTTGTTTGGTAGCATTAGGTCGGCAGCCAGCTATAAGCCCAAAAATGCCAAATCGAAACCGTCTAGTCCTGATCGGCGGTAATAACGGACGTTAAACGTAAGAGAGAAGAAAGAGACAATTTTATTCAAACATTTTTTATATGAATAATCGCAATAAAATTGTTTTTAATTATGTCAACAATAAAATAATCAGCCTAAATTTTATTTTTGTATTTGAGTAATAATTATTCGAATTCAAAAAATATTCGACGGATATTCGAATAAAAAAATTATTTATATTATTAATTAGATAACAAATTATGAATATGCCATTACCCATAAATTATTTTCTTGGTAAATACAATTTCTCTAGCTTATTAATATAAGTTATTGCAGAATACAAATATTGTACTAAAATTTAAAGTAATAAAATTAAAAACATCGTAGAAACGATTTAAAAATTTGGTAAAACTTTTTTAGAGTACTTTGAAGTTAAAATTATTAGTTGGTGTCACTAAAATAATAGAAATCAGTAAAATTATTTTTCATATCTTAAAAATTTATCAAGAAGCTTACCTAGTTTTTTCAAAGTAAAAAAAAAATTAATATAAAAACCACCCTACAGTGTAATGTAAATAATAATAATAAAATATTGTGCATAATTCAATTCGCGCTATATTTATTACCCCAAGGACGCTAGATGTTCATTGATTTTATACAGTCTCTGAATCGAGATAATGATTTTTACAGATGATGCGCAAGGACGCCGGACGGTTGTGACTTGTGTGGTGCAAACTGCAAATAGGTACTTTGCTTGCGGTCTTTTTTGCTTTTCGTGCTTCGTAGTGAAATGAATATTGTACAGTGGCGTGCAGTGTAGGCAAATCGAATGGGAATGGGGATGGTAGCGACAGGGCACCGTCACCTCTCGTGCAAGCCGTACAGGCCACAGCGAACCAACTACTAAGCAATAACCAATAACCACTACTTCTGAGTACATGTATTTTGCATAGCACTGCCGCCTGCCGGGAAGATTGTTATGAGTTATGATTTATATTTTATGATGAAATGCGATTTAGACATGCAGTCAGCAGTATGCTCTACAGTAGTAATTGAAGCCTAGCGAGCAACATGTGCTTTACGGCAATTTTATTTAGGCAATTAATTCAGAGATAATATCGCTTGGCACGTTTTCTATAGATATTCGAACAGTAAGCTATTTTTTGATAAATTACATCTTCGAAATTAAACTGGTGACACTAAATATTAATAATAATTGATCTGTTGAACGTTTAGGTTGATCAGTGTCAAGTGTCAATCGATCCGTTAGAAGGACAAATTACAAAAACCATGGAACACGACCAAGACGTAAAAACAAATGGACATTTGGCAAGTATGTAAAACTTAATTCAAAAAACTTAATTATACAATTTATACGCGCTTCGCTTTTTCTATGCTAATAATTGGAGTTATAATAAAATTATACGAAGACTATGTAGGCGCAATTCTAGTTTTTTTTCGGAAATAATGCCTATTATTTTATTTATAGACGACTAGGTGCGTTTCAAATGTTTGTTATTATTAAAAATTTGGTTTTTATATTATTGGCTTATAAATTTAAAGTATTTTAAACATTTTTCTTTTATATTTCAGTATTAGGTTTTCCTTCTAACAAGAGAAATACCTTTATATATCATTTTTATACCCACTTGTTCACTTAATTTACTCTTAAAATAAAACAATTATAAAGTAAATCATTTACATTTAAATGAGTACAAGTATAGTTAATGGTTGTATGCTGTTTCAAACATATTATTACCTTATAACTTTAAAAAGAAACTCTCAGAGAATTTATTCTTAAAACTATTGTGATCTTTACATTTTAAAATAATTTTTTTAAATTTTTTTTTTGAATTTTTGAGGAAATTTCTGTTTTCAAAGTTAGAAGGTATAACATCTTAATAAGTTTTAGCCTTGAGAGGTTTTGAAAATTGTTTTCATGTTTTTAAAAGTATTCATTTTATTCTTAGTAAGAATCTATCCAATAACATCCAGGTAAATATTTTAGCTTGTCTGTCTTAACTAAGCTAGTTAAAACACAAAATAATTAATCTAATATGTTACAATAGGGTTTAAACCTTACCGTACTAATACATTTAATTTTAAACCTTGCTTTGTGTTTAAATCAAGGTTAGTTCTTACTTCTTATTTCTCTCTACTAACACTTTTATAGAGCTTCAGTAAAATATGTATTCATTATTTTTAAAACATTTTTTTGTTTATGGGTAAGGAGTGTTTTTAGTTTTGATGTTTTAAATAATGCTGTTTCTATGGTGAATCACAATTGTATTATCTAAACCTTTAGACAATCTGTAATCTATAATAATTTGAGTTCTTAATTATTTTTATTGATTTTACAGTTAGAAAATGGAAAACACTTAAAAGCTCTTATAAAGGGTACTTCACTCATTTTTTTTTTAAAGTTACTAATTTCCAAGACGTATTTATCTAAACATGTTTAAGTGTTCTTTAAAGTATAAAAAAAATGTATTACTTTTAATTAATAATCCATTCAAAATTAGTTTACGTAACAATATAATATAATTTAATTTATAATATATATATAGAAAAAATTAGAATAACTTAGCCTTATGAAAACCAAGAAATCTTGTATTGAAGGCTATTACATTTTTTAGACGGATATGATAAAATGGAAAAATCAGCTACAACCGATGAAGTTAGTCCTGATTTGAATGGTTGTGATACTGGCGCAATATTTTATATGGAAGATGAGGATCACCAATCTGTATTATTAAATTCACTTAATATGATGCGAAAAAGTCGGACATTTTGCGATGTTATTTTAAATGTAAGTTTAAAATTTATTACTGACTATAGATATCTAACTGGTATTTGGTCATATATTTTTATTTTAGTTTTAATGAAAAATGTTTTAAATTATTTATTTTAAATTAATTAATTGTGTTTAGAAAATTTAGAAATTATAATATACCTAGCTATGTTTTTTTTCTTTTATTGAACGGATTTAAAAGGCAAATGATAGTTTTTTTATTTTTATTTTTTTTGAATTAGAGCAATGAGGGAAAACTGCTTTTATATTACTTTTTTATTTTATGTTTTGGGTTGGGATGGGAAATGTTGACCATTTTGAAACGTAGACCGACCACCATGAGTGTGTGTAGGTGGGCAATTGCGAGTTATATGGTCACCGTGCTGTGTTGGCCAGCTCGAGTCGATATTTGATGGAGATGTTTAGCGCCGACTATGAAGAGAAGAAAGGCTCTCAGCGAGAAGCAATAACTACGTACACGTTGAATGCCACTGGACCACTCAATGACAGAACTGCTGTTGAGAAGCTCGTCGAATACACCTACACATCTCGGTAACGCCATGTCGCTACCATTTAAATAATAATTCTAACAGTTTATTTTCTCTACCTTGGCAAAGAAAATGTTTTTTTTATGTGGTTTATTTAACTTTTATTACTATGAAATGAAAAATATGTTTTATATCACTCAACGGAATCGTCACTTATTTAGATTTGTAGTTTCTTTATAGATTAATTTTTTTCAATTTTTACAAGTTAATTTCATAAAAGCTTACACCTCTTAGGAATACATAAACCCATTTAAAAAACCTAACATATTGTGTATATTTAATTGTAAATTTGTTTTAAAAAAGTTGAAGGGGAGTACAAATAAAACCTTGTAGAGGGACCAGATCATTTTTGGTAATTTAATTAAAAAATCAATGGTTATGCAATCTGTAGAAAGTTCTCATCTTTCAAAAACAAAACAAGTTATTTTTTACCAACAAAATGGCTGTAACTTGTAGGTATGCAAGTTTATAAAATACATTTAAAACCATTTCCTAAAACCATTAATTTATTTAAAAATAATTTAACATTATCAAATAATATTAATTTTTTAAATATTGCACATGTTACTCTGTTAAGAAGAAAGAAGCCTTCTTATCAACAAATTATAATATATTGAAAACAAATTTGTGTTAACATATAAAATGGGATTTATTAATTATTTCTATGCATATTGTATTTCAAATTATTCAGTATGCAGAGCAACTGCAATAATATCATAATATTCTCTTACCAACTACTTTAATAGTCGTGTGGTTAAGATTGTTTTATTTCTAATCAATAACAATTTTGTGATATCATAGTTGCTGTCTATATATTATAAATTATAACATCTTTAGGAATTTCTATATCCCAACCTTTTTTAAAAATGATCTTTAAGTTAACCACATTATTGTATAACTGGTAAGCATTCTATTAGACAATATAATGCTATCAAAATAATATAACATCATAAAGAAGAAAATATTTGTGATTCTTATCGGAGATGGGTTAATGCAAAATTTACATTTTTACAATATTTATTAGCATTTAAAAACTAGTTCCAAACATAAAATATTTCATATTTCTATAAAAAAAATCTATGTAATTTTTCACTAAGTCAACATTTCCCAATTGTCTGTACCTCAATTTTCCTTTTATAAATTTAATTATTATATTTAAAAAGATTAAAGTAAACTATATATATGTATAGTAAATTAAATTATTATTAGTGTGCATGCCGCATGGTAAAATTGAGTAGTGATAAACTAGGTCATATAAATTAAAATAATCTAATTTCTTTACATAAAAAAAAAAAATTAGTTAAAGATATATTATGATTTTGCTCTTAGTAATTAAAGTAATTAATTTTAACCATTTTAATAGCGTTGATTCTCACTATTAAAAAAAAAGATTTTCTAAAGTAATCGTCTTATTTGTTGTAACTAATAATTGATGACTTGAATTATAACAAGTTGACTATTTGACCATAATATTATAAATCAATCATTATCAAACATATTTCCTATTTAAGATATTTAAAAAAAGATTACAAATATTGTCAAAATTTTTAAAATTATTACAATTATTAAAAATTATTTGCTTATTTAACTTTTATTTATGATTATGCATAATAACTATATATATATATGAATCTTAATTTTTCAAATAATAGGCAAAACATTAAATCATATCTAAGTCATAATGTTTAAAGTGACTTTTGCATTGACATTTGTTAAGAAATATATTTATAGTTTGTAAGTTTATCTTTCAAAATATTAATGATATAAAAGTATTTATTAAAATCTTCCATAAAATATTTACTCCAACCTAAGTCAATAAAAATCAAAAATAGATTTTAATAGCGTATTTTAATACATTGTTTATATATTTAAAAAAATTGTTCAAGGTAATAAAAATATATTATTTATTAGTTATAAATGTGACTATTGTCATTATAAAATTAAATGTGGGTTAGTGTGTATTTTAAGTATAGGGGAAAATATCCAATTTTTTTTTTTGGGAGGAAGTACATACAATTTTTTACAATAATAAAGGATTATTAAAATTTCAAGTGACATTTACCATTAGAATTATGTTGTTAGTTAAAATGTATAACTGCTTTTATAGGAATAAAAAAAAAGTCGGGTTGTAATACATTTAACGGCCAAGACAATTTGTTTTCCTGTTACTCTTATAGTGTTGGCAACATAGGTTTTGGTCACCATTGCTTCCTTTTAATATCTCTTTACTTTTATGCTTCCGATAATACATTTTTATCATAAAGTATGAATAAAATAATAATTTGTATGTACATACATTATATTTTCAGATTGGAAGCAAATGTATGTCAAGTGAAATCAATATTCCAGGCGGCTTGCTACTTAAAAATGGACCGTATTACAAAAGAATTAGGTCGTTTTATGTTGAAAAATTTAAGTGTAGACAATTGCATAGAGATTCGTTCTTTGCCGTGTATATCAACAAGCATATCCTTTATAAGTCAAGTCAATTCATTTATAATGGCACACGTGAGTCAAATATCCATCTAAAAGTTATGGTCTATAGAATAGACGAGATTTTATTATATTTAGAATATTAGTCTCATAGTTTAGAAGTTAATTTGTAAATATTTATCTTCTAGATGAAAGAGGTAGCTGAGACATCAGCTTTTTTATCACTACCGTGTGTACGAATTGAAATTCTGAGCCAAACAAAACAGGAAATGTCTCTCAGTACAGGCGATTCTATATCTGAATTAGTATTGGATTGGATTAAACGTTGTTATGATGAGAATGAACCTACAATATTTCTCAATACACTAATGGAAAAAGTATTTATATACTTTTAACTTAAAGTCAATTATGGGTATCAAATAAAATTTTAAATTTCTTTTTATAGACATACATGTTGTACTTGGCTTTGGATAATATATTACAGGATTGTTCTGAATTACCATCTGGAGAGTTAAGTGATACTGAAATTGTTCAAGACTACAAAAAAATGTCTATGAAATCAACATCGATTCCTAAGGTTTGTATATAATATAATATGTGTGAAGGCATCAAACTTGTTACTATAGGTGATTCCTTTACAGCAATACAGGTTTGAGCCTCACAGTTGCGTACATTTAACTTTATTATATGGGGGGGGGGACTTAGGGATTTAAATGACACATTAATATTTTGAACTTGTTAATATTTCATTATGCCTATTGGCTATTTTAATACTGTTTTTGTTTTGTTTTGGGAGGGGATTTATCCCGAATACCCCCCCTGTATGTACGCCATTGAAGCCTCAAATGGTTAAAAATTAAATTTCTTAAAAAAATATGTAATAACGTGTCCATAGATCTGGGCGCTCAACTGAATACACTTTAAATAATGTAATAAAAATGATTCCTTAAATTATAGGCTAGACGTAAAGGACAGATTCAGCCAGCTAAATCAAGAGTTTTAATATGTAACCGGGAAATACACGAAAGAAGAGATAGTATAGTAGAAAGCGACTGGACAATAATTGGCGTCACCTGTGTTGGAGGTATTTTCTTTTAGATTACAAATAACCAACAAGATATCACTATAATTTTTGTTCGTGTTTAGAACATACATTTTCTGCTTTGGGATCACTAAAAGGCCAATTATGTTCATTGAGCATCAAGTTGAAATTGAATGTTTCCTCACTATCAAGCCCACCTTCTACTCAGCCATCTCCCCTGAATAGTCGAGCCGAATCTCAAGAGTCTTTACCTGACCTTTATTGTGCTTTAGCACATATGACGTCTGGAAAATGTGCTGTGGGTTGTGCCAATTTTAATAACAATTTGTTGGTGTGTGGAGGATATGACCGAACGGAATGTATAAAGAGTGTTGAATCATATGACCCAGAGCAAAATATATGGGAAACGTTTGCGCCTATGTGTGAAGCTCGAGGACGTTTTGATGTAGCAGTGTTTAATAATAAAGTGTATGCAATTGGTGGCTGCAATGGAACAACTGAATTGGCTACTGTTGAGTGTTATGATTTGAAAAATAAAAAATGGACTCCTGTGACATCGTTACCTCTTGCTCGATCAAATACAGGTAAATATCAGTGAAAATATTTAGAAGTCTTATGAAATTAAATGCGGTTCTTTTTTTCTAATCATTTTAGGCGTTTGTGAATTAAATGGAAAAATATATTGTATTGGTGGATGGAATGGTCAAGTTGGAATAAAACAATGTGATGTTTATGATCCTGATACAAATCAGTGGACTAGTATTGCTTCATTGCAAACTGGTATAGTGTAACAATTTGATATTGAAATATTTTATTTGTTTAGCTTATTCAATTACATTTTTTATTTATAGGAAGGAACCAAGCTGGTGTTTGTGCTATGAATGGTAAAGTTTATGTTGTGGGAGGATGTGATACATGGAATTGTTTGAATACGGTAGAATGCTACGATCCAGAAACCAATTCATGGTCATTTATTAAACCTATCATAACACCTAGGCGTGGTTGTGGACTTGCCCACTTTAATGGTACGACGTGACTTTTTTTTTATGGTCAAATATGTGGCGACACTTAATTATACTGGGAATCAAATTACGCAAATAGACATTGTCTGCCTTACCACATATAATCTCATACATACTTCCTTTTTTGTTTTGGTGGGGAGAAAGAGATTAATAAAATTAAAAAATGATCTATTTCTTGGTATTTGACATTAATATTTTAAGAATTAACACTGAAGAAAAGGGTATTTTTCTACTATGGCCTTTTGACTCCTCTTCAGTGTTCTGTTAAAAAAACTTACGGGTCTATGCCAGTTTGATTATGGAAATTTTATAGAAGCCTTAAACAAGATTTTGTAAAGCTTAATGAACTCTTAAGGTCTCTCATAATGTTAGTAATAATATTATATTAATAACTATTGAAACATGTACTAAATTTAGGTAAGCTGTACGTAGTGGGTGGCTCAGATGGAACTCAATCATTAACTACAACAGAAGTTTATGACACAGAAGAAAGAATTTGGAGTCCTGGCCCAAATATGACTACACCTCGTGCTAACGTTGGAGTGGCTGTTATTGGAAACAGATTATATGCTGTTGGAGGATTTTCTGGTAAACAAAAGAATAAAGAAAATTGTCGCTGAATATAATATAATTATAAATAGTTGTTTAAGATTTAACACAAGTTGTATTTTACAGGTAAAAAATTTTTGAACAGTATCGAGTTTTTGGATGAAACTATGGATGAATGGACACAGTTTAGTCCGAGACACAATAATGGTTCCCTATCATCATCACCGCTATCTACGAATAACGATCCTATCTATAATTTTAATTGTGATATCCTTACCAGTCCTATTATATAAAGTAAATTATATTTTTTAAAAATCAATTTTTATGTACCTTAAATTTGTTTTCAAAATGTGTCATTTCAATGTCGAATAAATATTGTACATTTAACTTATTTTTGGGTATTCAGATTCAAAAATAATTATTGCCGACCAATTATTATAATAATATTTAAATTTACTCTTTTCTACTAAAAGAAACTATTTTCTTGTACTATTTTTTAGACACAAATTTATGGGTAATTTTTACTGTAATATTTTTTTTTCTAAGTGAACCAACAAATGTCATAAATGTGTTACTAGTAAATGATGATTTTTTTTTTGTTATGTGCAAAAACTAATAATATTAGTTGTACAAATTACATTTTTAAGTAATGATTCATTATTAATTGGATGAATTTATTTAATTTGTGATACATTTTTAAGTTTTCTTATTTGCTAAAATTAGTTATTCCTTTTTAGAAGATTAATAAAATATATAATATTCTGGGGGTCTATAGACATATTGTGATAAATAAATAATATTATTATTACTATAATAATATATAAAATTTAAATCTCAGTTAGCATTGCTGTTTGCAAGTTGTTTATAGTTTTTAAGGAAACATAATAAATTAAAGCCAGTTTACTTTAATACATTATTAGTATAATTTGCACTTCAGTTTGGGCTTATAGTTTCTTTATTCTCTCACGATTTATTGTAATGTTCGAACTGTTGTTACATACCTACTATAAAATGCATTTAGAAATTTTAATTTTAATTATATAGTATAGTTATTATTACTTGCCAAGTTGCAAAACAAAATAGTTATAATATTTTAATTATTGTTGTAAGAAAAATGATTGTTCTATTTTGTTCCTGATTGTATTTATTATTTTATTTGTCAGTTTCTGAGCATTAGTTATTAATATTTTATTAACACTAATAATATTTTAATTACATGTTATCACATTATATTGTAGTGAAATTTAATTTTTTGTATTTGTAATGAACAAAAAATTACAATTACAATATTCTAATAATACACATTTATTGTATTAAGTTTGTTCAATTGACCCTACTGATTGATCTTATAGACTATAGTAGAATTATGAACAAATATTTTTTTTAGTCTGCACACATCTAAAATTAAATGGCTCATGTGTATCATTAAATAATTAACTATCTGAATGATTGACTATTAGAAGCTAAACTGAAATTGTTTTTAAGCTGAATGTGTACACCTATTGGCATTTAAGTCGTAGGTAAGGAAAAGTCAAAATAATATCTATTGAACGTTATTAGTTATTATAAATCATTAAAACTTTTTTTTAGGTGTATGTTTTGGTTTAAATGTAAATGGTTGTTTGTTGGATCTTTTGAATTAAATAGCAGGGCGTGTTAGAACTTTGAGCCAGTTTAAGATTATTCCGGACTGATTTATTCGGCTAACATCTTATTTCGTCAGAATTGCATGTGTTTGATACTTTAGCAGTGTAACCAAAGTTGAAAGTAGACTTCCTTAATAAATTGGAAAATCCCTCTGAAAAATATGCAGGTTTATAACGTTTCAATTTTGATAGTTGACGCATTAATTTCGCGAAGAAGGTCAAATCATTTTAAATGTATGCAAAACGGAATTAAGGATGCTTATAATCTATATTATGACCTACAATAAGAAAGTTTTTGGTTATAAAAAACATATTTTGGGAAAAATGTTAAGATTACGGATTAAATTAAAATTAGTACTTAATTCTTGCTGAACTAAAAAGTATACAGTTTAAAGTAAAAACTAAAGTTACTTACATCTTAAAACCGTGTACAAGCAAAAGCCAAGGTTTATCAAATATTCAAACCAGACAACGTACGCGCGTTTTAACGATTATGGAGTTTTTGAGGTTAGATATTTTATTATTTACAACTTACCAAACCACGGTACACTGTTATGGAATATACCAGGTAAGTTGTCATATCTTATTATGACGTGTTATCATAAATCCAAACTTGAGAATTCTAAGAATTGTTCAAACTTTAGTGTTCATAGATCTATGGAATTTAATAAGTTTTAAATTTAATATTTAATTATTTAAAGAAGTTCTATTTTTCTATGCAAGTGTTATCTTGTCCGAGTGTTTCTGTGAAAACATTTCAATGATTTAATGTTTTGTGTTGGGTTAGTCTAAAACAATTTAATCGAGATCGTTTATTTCAATATAAATTTATTACAGTAAGTATCCATATATTTATATATATATATACATAATTTATATATTATTGTTAATTAGTTTTGTCATTTATAAAATATTGGTTTTTAAAATCGTGATTTACATTTGTTGTTTAGCAAAATGTCGTCCATTGAACAGCCATGCTACACTTTAATCAATATCTCCAATGATAGTGAAATGCCAAATGAAATGCAACTCAAAGCAGATTTGGGTATCTGAGATCTTTACCTATGATCTATCATTGTTGTAAATTAATTTGCTAAAATTTGTGTTTATTCAGAAAAAGGGGATTGCAAAACAAAAATTGATGCTTTGAAAAAAGTTATCCAGATGATTGCTAATGGTGAAAGACTGCCAGGACTGTTAATGATTATCATTCGATTTGTTTTGCCATTACAAGATCATATGATTAAAAAGCTTCTTTTAATATTTTGGGAAATTGTACCCAAAACAACACCAGATGGCAAATTATTACAAGAAATGATATTAGTTTGCGATGCATATCGAAAGGTAACATACTATTTTTCAAAATAATATATTAGAACTACTTTTTTTGGTCTACGTAATAATTTTGATTATTTATTTATTTAATTAATTATTGATAAATGTAAGGCTGTACATATCTCTTACACTACAGTTTTAATGTAATATTTTATTGGATAGCTTTATTAAAGATAAAGTAAGTTACTACCTTGATAAAAAATTATTACTGTTTATTTAACCCATTACTTGATTTCTATTTCTGTTTAGCAAACTGTATTTTAAAACTTTTTTATTAGTGTCAAGTCAAGAAAATAATATTCATAGTACATAATACACAATCATACATTAAATATACATACAGTAGGTACACTATTTTGGTAACCACATAAATTAATACATATGTATTTATACAATTAGACAAGAGCTCTAATACATATACATTTTTTGCAATTAGTTGTTTCTTAGTATTTGTTGTTTATGTTTCAATTTAGATCATTAAACAAATGTGGTTTTTCTATTTGTGTATACTGTATGTATCATACGTATACGACATAACAAACATTTTGTTAATGAATATACTTAAGTAATAAAAATATCTAATATTAAACTTTATCTTTGATGTTTCATTGTTATTATTATGTTTATAAAATATGAGCCACATTTTCATTCCATAAGTTTTATTTATTTTTTTAAATTTGATCATATATTTTTATAACAACTTATTACTTGTACGTACGTTTTAGGATTTGCAACATCCAAATGAGTATTTGAGAGGTTCGACACTTCGCTTTTTATGTAAATTGAAGGAGCCTGAATTATTAGAACCATTAATGCCAGCAATAAGGACATGTCTCGAACACCGTCATTCATATGTTAGACGTAATGCTGTTCTTGCAATATTTACTATTTACAGGTAAATTCAAATTTAAGTATTTCACTACTTTTTGGAATTCTTTATTTAATCATCACAAATGTGTGTAGGAATTTTGAATTCTTGATTCCTGATGCACCTGAGCTAATAGCTAATTTCCTTGATGGTGAGCAAGACATGTCATGCAAAAGAAATGCTTTTATGATGTTGCTACATGCTGATCAAGAGAGAGCACTTACATATCTTGCATCTTGTCTGGATCAAGTTGCTTCATTTGGCGATATCCTTCAACTTGTCATTGTTGAGCTTATTTATAAAGTAAGATAACTTTGTTTCTTTTCTCCCACAAATTCTTATTTTACTTGTATTTAAGGTTTGTCATGCAAATCCGTCAGAAAGATCTCGTTTTATTCGATGTATATACAATTTGCTAAATTCTAGTAGTCCAGCAGTTCGTTATGAAGCTGCAGGAACTTTGGTCACATTGTCAAATGCACCGACTGCAGTCAAGGTAAATTAAATACTATCCATAAAATATTATTTTCTGATGATAAATAATTTAAAAATAAAATTTTTAAGTTATACATATTATATTATTTAAAAATTAGGCAGCAGCATCATGTTACATTGAATTGATTGTGAAAGAGAGTGATAATAATGTGAAACTTATCGTTTTGGATCGTCTAATAGCGCTTAAAGAACATCCTTCTCACGAAAGAGTACTACAAGATTTAGTTATGGATATTTTGAGAGTGTTGTCTAGTACAGACTTAGAAGTTCGAAAGAAAACCCTTAACTTAGGTATAATTTATTTGTTGTCATACTTGCCAGTTTTAAGTAATTTGCATTTATGTAATATTCAATCTTATTTTAGCTATGGATCTTGTATCGTCTCGTAATATTGAAGAAATGGTGTTTGTTTTAAAAAATGAAGTTGAAAAAACTCATAATCTTGCAGAACATGAAGATACTGGTAAATACAGACAATTGTTAGTCCGCACGCTGCATTCATGTTCAATTAAGGTTTGCTAGTTAAATTATATTGTATATTTTTAATTTAGTTGTATTAGCTTACGATGTATGCATTTAATTTTTTTGCAGTTCCCTGACATAGCTGCTACTGTCATACCTGTTCTTATTGAATTCTTATCGGATAATATAGAATTAGCCGCTACTGATGTTATGGTGTTTTTGCGGGAAGCCATTTATTTGTTTGAGTCACTACGCCCTCTTATCATTCAACGCTTGTTAGAAATTTTTCAGGCAATTAAGTCTGCAAATGTGCATAGAGCAGCTTTATGGATTCTTGGGGAGTTTGCAAATTCACAAGAAGATATCGAAGCTACCGTTGAGCAAATCAAAACATCACTGGGTGATGTATGTTAATTATTATTGGTATTTTTATAAATACTACATTAAATAATTTTTTTTAGATGCCTTTAGTTGAAGACGAATTAAAAAAAGCTGCTGGAGATGAAGAAAATAATGAAGAGAGTGGAATGAGTGGAGGTTCACAATTAGTTACATCAGATGGAACTTACGCTACACAATCAGCATTTATCAGTCATAGTTCGTCTCGTAATGGTCAGCCCAAGAGGCCTCCTTTACGACAATATTTCATTGATGGAGATTTTTATATTGGAGCCGCTCTTGGTACTACATTAACAAAATTGGGAATGAGATATGCTGAAATTTGGGATGAACAAGATCTAGTTAAATCAAATCAGTTTTGCGTTGATTTAATGCTCACTCTGACTTACATTATTAGATTAGGGAAATCGGGTAATATATATATATATATATATATATATATACAGGGTCCGGCAAAAAAACCTCCCTTATTTAGAAATGGCACTGTGTGAGTTGTGGTGGTGGTACAACGGTGGAGGGGGTATTGATCGATAGCTGTATACATGCTATTTTCTTCTGACCTAACCTAAACCAATTGCTAGGAATCATGATGAGGGAGAAGTCTGGTTCCAACAAGACGGTGCCACAGATTACACTTCGCGGCGCTCACTAGCAATCTTGAGAGAGGTGTTTCCTGGACGTCTTCTCTCTTTGCGAGGAGACATCACCTAACCGCCAATGTCACTTGATTTATCCCCTTGTGGTTTGGGGACTTAAGAAGGCAATCAAACAGGCAGTGGCTGCCATTATACCGGAAATGACACGAAGAGCTATGGCCATTCTCGAAAGTTAAAAGTGTAACCTGTGGCACCGTCTTGTTGGAACCAGACTTCTCCCTTATCATGGTTCCTAGCAATTGGTTTAGGTTAGGTCAGAAGAAAATAGCATGTATACAGCTATCGATCAATACCCCCTCCACTGTTGTACCACCACCACAACTCATATAGTGGCATTTCGAAATGAGGGAGGTTTTTTTGCCGGACCCTGTATAAATATACAATATACAAAAAAAAATATCCTTAAAAGCCAGTAACAACATTTTTCTTATAGGAATTCCATCTAAAGCAATTGGAATTGATGATGAAGATAAAATATTGGAAAGTATTAAAATATTAAATGATAGAAATGCTGAAGTAGAAGAAATTTACATTAAAGAGTGCAGTAAATCATTAAGTGAAATGCTGACCGCAAAAGAAGATGAGGAAAGTAGTAACAAAAAAGTAAGTGACAAATAAATAAAAATGTCTATGGCGTTCTAACATTGTAATGCATGTCTTAGGCTAAAGAAAAACCAGGTCACAATGTTAATGTTGATGACGCTATAGTATTTTTACGTACTAGCGGAAATGGAACAGAAGGTACGGAAAATGTCTTTGAGTTGAGCTTAACTCAAGCTGTAGCAGGTGGTGGGTCCATTCATCACAGCAATAGTGATGCGTCTAATAGTCTTTCGTCCAATAGTAAGCTTAACAAGGTTACTCAATTGACTGGCTTTTCAGACCCAGTTTACGCTGAAGCTTATGTACATGTTAATCAATATGACATAGTTTTGGATGTATTGATAGTTAACCAAACAGGTAAGGTATATTATCTAGACGACCTTAAAAAAAAACAATATATAAATATATTTGTATATTTATTAATTATATTTGATTTAATTAGGTGATACTTTACAAAATTGTACACTTGAATTAGCGACAATGGGCGATTTGAAGTTGGTGGAAAAGCCCCAACCAGTTGTTTTAGCTCCACATGATTTTTGTAATATTAAAGCCAGTGTTAAAGTTGCTTCAACTGAAAATGGCATAATCTTTGGGAATATTGGTAAGTAAACAAATATTACTTCAAATTTACTATTATATAATCTTACTATATATTTGGTTTAGTGTATGATATTGGTGGAGCGATTGGAGATCGTAATGTTGTTGTATTAGATGACATTCGCATAGATATTATGGATTACATAATGCCTGCTGCATGTAATGATTCTGAATTCCGACAGATGTGGACTGAATTTGAATGGGAAAACAAGGTAAGATACAATGTATAAAATATAAATATTATTTTTTTCATTTATTTTGGTTATATTTTTTTTAGGTTTCTGTTACTACTAGTTTAACAGATTTAAATGAATATCTAACACATCTTCTGAAAAGTACAAACATGAAATGTCTGACCCCTGAAAAAGCATTGTCTGGACAATGCGGATTTATGGCTGCTAACTTGTATGCAAGATCCATTTTTGGTGAAGATGCTTTAGCTAACTTGAGTATTGAAAAAGGTATAGACAAGCCACAAGTTAGTGGGCATATAAGAATTCGAGCAAAAAGCCAGGTAATTAATTTAAAACAATTTCTATGCGCTTTAACAATGCAGGTCATTAGTGTTATATGGCTTGGAACATTTGATTGTGGAAGACTTAGTGTTAGTTGAGACCATTGCAAAAATTCCTGGGTGGTTAGCGATAATCAGCTGACACTATTTACTGTGTCATACCATACCATAATTAACACCTCTTGACTAAAATTATTTTTTTTAATATTTAAGTAAAGTTAACTTATGAATTATAAATAAACTATGCTATATTTTGGTATTAATTATCCAATAACTGATATCATATCAAAAATTGATTAATCAAATATTGTTAAAAGTCCCTGTGCCAAAAATTGCCAAGTTGTAAATTATAGGTAATTTTTGACATTTTTACTGTCATCTTTATTTTTAGGTTTATTTTTGTAATAAATAGTTAAAAAGTATGATTTTTAACATACATTTTTTTACATGAACCTATAGCCTTTTAAGATTGATAAATTATTTTATGAGAAATGTTTGTTTGATAATGTTTTAAAAAAACTAAAAGTTCACTTCTTAAATTTTGCATAGGGCAGAATTTTATTGTTTGTTAATAAACTCTAAAATTACATTGTTTATTATTGTTGATATCAATTTTCATTACCATATAAATAAAACAATTGTTATATTTATATTGTTATCACGGCGTATACAATTTGAATGTTGAAAATCAAAGCCTAACAAACTGTAGACGGTCTTCATCATTCTAAAAAAATTAGCAAAATTGAAAACTTCACTTTTTTTGTAAGGTTTGTTTTTGAGCAAAAAACACATTAATCTTCAGACTAATTGATAATTAAAAAAATGTAATATTTATATTTCATAAATTAAATAATTTTGGTATTAACTCATGAAAATATGAAATTAAATAAAATTTAAGTATAAAACTTAAAAATGAATACAATAATTTTCAGGGGTACGGACAAAACTAAATTTTATACAAATTTTACACGAGTCACTGACCAAGGTGTCTACCAAATCGATTTAAAAAAAATGATTTCCCTCTTAAAGTTAACATTTGTATAGGGCCTGAAAGAACTATTTTTTTTTGTTTGTTTTTACAATTGTATTGGGTATAGACAATAACGCATTTAATTTTTATAGTTGTTCTAATTAACCTAACTAATAACAAAATCAAAATTCAATCTTTGAGCCCTTATAGAAATTAAGCCGTTCCTACTAAGCTTTCTATTAAAAAAAAATGTTTTTTCAAACTATTGCTATAATTCAGTGAAAAATAACTTTAAGAAGTTTTTTTAACTAGAAAACATAATACTCATTTTCTGATTTACCGTAAAATTAGTTGGCATACCTATTTAAAATGGCCCCAATATCAATGTTTGTCAAACATTGGCTATTTTTTGCTGATAAATTACCCTTTGCATAGCCCTCAATTATTTTTTGCTAAATTTTAATGAAGATGCAATTAGGCGGGTCAGATAAAGAGGGTGTCACACGCGAAATATATAATATATGGAGGTATATATTATAAAAGCAATACACCACATTCCACTACTGCAACATAAGGTTTAGAGCGAAATCATTTACTAAAAATAGTACAATAGAACAATATAATCTACATTCCATACTGGCATTTTTAACATTCTTATTTTTATTGTATTTTTTAAGAAAAATTGTGTACAAAATAGGTCGACGAGTATTTCTTTACTTATCTTCTTTCTTTTCTTACGTTTTCATCATGTATTCAAATTGTTCATTAAAATCTTTACCTAACATTTTTAAAAGACTTTCCTACTCGTTAAATAGTACTCTTCAGTTGTTTCAACACTCGTTTTTAAGATCATAGTAGCTATTGTCTGCTATAGAATAAAACTCCAAATTAAAATCCAGTATATGAGTAGAAGCTCAGCAAAAATTTGGGTTAGAGACCCGTGGTTTCTTAATGTGTTTACATTCTGCTTAAAATGGAAACAATAGAGCTGTGTTATGTTTTCTTTGGCGACAAAACGCAAGAACATAATGACTAAGGAACAAAATGTAAAACGTTTTATAGCTGGAACGAATGTAGTGTACCGTTCCTTTGTATAAAGACAAAATATATAGTTTTGTTTTTATTAAAAAACTAAGAACAAAATCGAAGGATCAAAATATTTCGTTAATAAATGAAATAAAAGCACGTTATAAACAAATGGGTTTTCAGCTCTTAACTCTTGAAATTGAGCAAAAAAAGTTCCTTATGTAATTTTTCAAACAAGATATCAAATGAGTAGCTGAACGTTTGAGGCTGTTGCGAGTTAGGTTAGGTTATTATTTAAAATCACTTAGATCTTTAAAAATTAAACATAATTTGTATTATTTGAATTGTTTAAGGATTTAGTTAAATGAATAACAATAGTATATTTAATATTAAAACAAATTGGGAATAAATAATAATAAATTAATATTTGTCGTGTTTTACTGATTTTTGTTTTTTAGGGTATGGCTTTAAGTCTCGGTGATAAAATCAACATGATGCAAAAACGGCCATACAAAGCTAATGCTGCCTAATGATGTCGTCATGAAGTTCGAAGTTAAATTAATTCCCCTTAAGTGTTTAATTATTACTTGTATTATAATTTATACTTATATTATCGGCTTATATGTATTAGAAAAATATTATATTATGTTAATCATTTTATTTAAAATTTAAAAATAACAAAGACATTGTTCGTTTTGGAACTTAAGGAATTTGTGATATTTTTTTCCCGTGGATTTTGATCTTCGTGGTTAACACGTTTGGGCAATAAAAAAAATATACTTCCTATACGAGTCCCCTATACGAGTATGCTGATAACAGGCTTTCTATATGTATATATAGACAACCAATTGCTCAGGTATTAGTTATTGTCTCTAGTCTCCAGTCTCTAGTTGTTCTATTTTTTTTTTGCTCTAAGCTCGCTAGGAAATAGGACCAAAATGTCAAGACAAGTAGTGAGTATTTAAAATCAATTCACTAAAAATGTTTTCTTGAAGCTACATAATTTTTTCCAGACTTTAACTTTAGTGTGTATTATGATTATGGTAAAATTGGCGAAACCTTGCGATAAAGCATTAATTAAAATAAAGCTTGTTTCCGCTTGTGCAATGCAAAAACGTAGTTTGTTGCCAGATCGTCTCAATAGTTTATTTTTCTCCGAGAAATTCGCGTCAAACTATTTGGAGCATGCAGAACAGCAGTACAAAAGGTTGATGGATGATGATGTTGATTCAGATACTCTCTCAAATAAAGATCAGGCTAGAGGTAAAAATTACTTGTCACCTTTGGTATTAAATATTGAAGGGCTATTTTTTCTAAAAAAAATAACAAAACAGCTATAACTATACATTTTACATGGGAAAATGGTATATTAATGTTAATAGATATTATAAATTAATATAGAAAAAGTTGAAATAATCGAATATTCTTAAATATATTTTTGATAAAATATTATCTGTTTTTTTCCCTTATTAAATAAACACCGCTTGTTAATAAATACCGCTCTCTTCTTTGAAAGAGTCCACCTTTTTAAACTATTGAGCGTGTGAAACTATTTAATTTTATTAATTAGTTGATTTGTGTTCATAAAATTCTTCAAAGAAAAAATTATGTGTTAAAAATATAACGTTACATTTACTTTTAATGTCCGACAGTGAAATCCTACTTCTGACATATTATTTAGGTATTAATGGGCGTATTTAATTCATCCTCTAGATGGGGGGGGGGGGAGAGTAAAAAAAATGTATAATACGTCAATGTCACATAAACGTATTGATCACTTCATTTCTATCTTCGTATAAACGAAGACTTTTCTTTTTAAGGAATCTTATTAGTCCGTAGATATAGGTACATGCCCAAGTAAATGTTCAGTGGAGACGATCTTGTTGTCGCCTTCTTCTGTAAACGCCCCTATGTACTTCTTTATCCTAAATGAAATGTTTAAACATGTTTTTTATAAAATGTTTTAATATTTATCAAACTTTTGATTAGGGAATTCCTTATATAAGAACGTCGCACCGCTTTTTTTAGTATTTAAAGTAATATCTAAGGTAATTTAGTAATTTTTTTAGTACAGCAATGAGGAGGGTCTCTGCAGGTAGATACATTGTATTAACACTCCCATAGAGTTTATTTTCAATGTTTTTAACTTTTTTTTTATACATATTGGTCAGCATAAACCATAATAGTTTGTCTGTAGTGGGATCTTTAAATATTGATGACACTCAAAAATCAATATTATACGATGTACATCGTCGGGTTTTTTTGTTACTGTAATTAAATAAGTTTTCATTAAATAAATTAAAATAAATTGAATATTTAATAAAAATATAGCCTAGAGGTATTGGAGATATCAACAAGACCTGATGAAGTACAGTGTAGAATATTGTGTTCTATGTTTCCAAATTAAAACATTTTATGACTACCTACTACTAAAAAAAATAGAACGGTTCAAAAATAGCTATTTATACACCTAAAATTACAGCTACGTGATGTTGTATTGTCAGAATAGTTTATACATTTACAAGTAAAATTAAGTTTAGTTTCAGAGGGTTTTATAAGTAAATTAGTAATTTACTTATAAATGGTTGACTTATTTAAACAATAATGACATACTAAAAATTATAGTGTAATTAAATGGTCGGCTGGTCGACTACTAGTTTTAAAAAATACTTGAGTACATACCTACCTATGATATTTTATGAAATAAAATACAATTTTATTAAGTTAAAAAATGCGAGATATAATTGTATTTGTTTATGTTAGAGTTATCTACTTCTGTAGCTGTTATCTGTTTTAAGTTGAATTTAATAGATAACCAACAAACGTGTATTGTTTTGGTTGTTTTTTTAAAATAAATAATTATTTTTTAATTCTAATCAAGTTTTTAATCGACTACGAATTTAACTTGATACTATTTAGAAACAAAAACAAATTCCTAAAGAGGCCTGAATTGACTTATACGCAGTAGTGATTAGTAATTATTGTCCCCGAGATTTATTAACCTTGTTGGTTTGGAAATAATATTAAGTAGGTATTAATTCAAGGAAAGTTTGACTAAGAACACTGACGGGGAGGACTTAGTAAATCTGATTCTAGACTTGACCTAGTTTGTCTAATTCTGTATTAATTTAATATAGATTAATTTTAAAGAATGTGAATGTCCTAATATTCATGTATGAATATTAGGAAATATTACCCTTTGTTGATGAAATAGTTTATACATTTTATAATTACTGTGTATAGGTAGTATTCGAGGCTATTTGACAAGCTGATTGATAAATGTCATAATAAAATGATTGTTTTAAATAATATTATCAACTTAGATGTATACACATTTAGTAACGAAAAAAATGAAATCCAAAAAACCGGGTAATCCATCAAATTTGGATTTGAATACCCGAAAATTGCATAAATATATAAAGGTCAAAGGACTTGGTTATTAACGAATAGCTAAAATGTCTTAATTTCATATGTTTCACGTGTGGTTGTGACACGGTTAAAAAGCACACTTTCACAAGTTCACTCTAGTCTCTACGTGGTGCAATGGATTTTAATTTCTCATACGCACTATAATGATCAATCATTTTGCACACGTAGCATTGGATTTAACTATTTGCGTGTTTCCTTAATATTATAATTTCATACAAATGGACAGTTAGCAATCCTTTCGAGGGCCCGTTTGTCCCGTGTTAGACCACTAATTTTTTATATATATATATATTGAATATTGTAAAAAAAATCATTAAAATTTTTTAATTTTTTTGGCTAGGTTTAAGGCGACCAGATTACCTGTCGTTTTACGATTTGTACATCCGGCGTTCGAATCGACAAAAAGCCGATAATGGTAAACAAATTTGATATCAGTAAATGCGCCAAGACTAATGCCTAGGCCATTGAAAAATATTTTTTATTTTATAATAGACGACGATCGACTCACGGCCAATCAAAAGAGGTCGATCCAGCACCTGATCGAGGAATGTTGTCACAAGCCGAAGGAATGCAGCGAAGCGGATTTCAGGGAAATATGCGATAAGAAATAAATACACAACTAAGTATATTATATACATTTTACATACCGTTTTATTATTAAATTACGGGTATTTAATATTCAGTACGTATACATAAAATTATATTAGTCATATATATTTCTATGTTCCATATAATGGAGAGAATAAATTGCCGTAAAATCACAGACACGTTTTTATAATTATTATTATAATAATTTTTGAAGTTTTTTTACACACCGACAATCATATCGCTAATTCTTAGTGCAAACTTAACACAGGAACGAAATAGTTAATATTATATAAATACACATCTTTGTACAAGTAATTAAAATAACACTGGATTTGTAGCTAGAATTTGTTAAATTAGGCATTCTTTTCTACGCAGTCAAGTGTAGTTAAAAAAAAATATATTTAATAATAATAGTATTAATAATAATTATAATAATAATAATAGTGGAAGGTAGAGTAAAAAAAAAATACGTATACGAAAAGAAAATACGCAGTGTTTTATGGTGTTTTTCCAAATGTCTAAGGGATTATTATGTGGCATTCCTGAGTTTCAGTGTTGCTTCATAGCTATGATTGATATTGACTTGTTTTGGCATCTTGTCAAAGTAGGGCGTTACCGTTTTCACTCGTCCTGGAACCTTGGGTTCCTGGCCGTTTACCGGCTGTAAAGAATAAAAATAAAAATGTAAGTAGAACGTTCATCCTACACGAGAGACCGAGATACGCCTTCCCAAAACACATGCAAACAATTTTGGGTACGCTAGCAGCGATTCTGATTGGTCACAGATTCGTTTTCTTACTTTTGTAATTAATGTGTGCGGGGTCGCGTTGTACTTATTGTTGGTTTTTCTAATTTGTTCTTTAGAATTAGGTATAATACTATTTGATATTGTTTTGGCAGACGTTTGGTCGAGTAGTAAACTATTGTCTACCTCTTGGCTTTGTTGTTGTCGGGGAGTTTTCTGGGGTTTCCAGAGTTTTTCTACCGAGGGTTTCTCTACGGTCGACCCAACAAAACCGCTCTGGTCAACTCTGTAAATTTTAACAACGTGTATAAAACGAAAACATCCGTAAGGTACTATTTGTCGTCTGATTTTGATTAAGAAATGTATGATCAAATACACAAACGTAGACAGTGTGAAGACAAGTATGGTGTTTAAGCAAAAAACAAACAAATTCTGGATAATGAAAATACAACTTAGATTGATTACGGTATTATGTTCGTTGTTAATATTTCTACTCGTTCACTGAGTGATGAAATCATTATGGTATAATAGAAATGTAGGTATATGGTTTTAATGAAGATGAAGAAAGACAACAGAAGCACACACGAAAATACTTATAAGTTGTAAGTAATACGTATTGAAATGAGAAAAACGTCAAATTACATGAGTAGAGACAGTTGGTGTATATGTCTAAGTACATAGAGTATTAAGTACATGGGTTATTTACTAAACAACAACAAATGTAGCCAATCAGAATCTCTTTTTAATGATGTTGATGCAGATAAGCGTAAGTATAGTTAGTACGGTTTAAGCCATGTTAGCGATAACAGAAAATATTATCACGATGATTAGTCTGGGATTAGATGATACCAATATGTTATTTTTGGCGATAATTTACAATATATATATATATATATATATACTTATACATTTTTACATATACATTTTTTTTTACCTAGTCTGGTCGGTTATCGCTTTTGATTATGTTTACATTCCGGTTAGGTATTTATTTTAATCAAAACACCGCTCGTTTTAGTTTTCTTTTCAATTAAATTAGATTGAATAAAAAAATGCCTATTAGACTCCTGGTGTTTAAAATATCCACGAGTGCATTAAACCCTCCTCGAGAATATAGATTTAAATTCTAGTTATTGAAAACAGCTATAGGTACATTAGGTGATTCAACAATGCACGCTATAACCTTTTTTGTAGAAAAGAATCATAATAGTTTATTGATAATTTAAACTAATTAAGAAACACCACGTTTGACTTAAAAGAATATTTTAATTGTGTTTAAGAGTCCCTAAATTAATTCCCTAGGTATTTTGTGTATTTTCAAAATAAAAATAGAAACAAGTATGTAAATATTTTTCGAGAAAAATAGTGTATTTTCCTACACTTTTTCTGTACACTTGGAAGGTATTTAGAACGTACCGCCATTAGTGATTTATCATTGCGTAGTAAATTATCGAGAAAGGTTATTTTACACTGTCGCGTCTTGAGATAAAAGACAAATTTACTCTTTTGAGCCGTGAAACTAGAAACACAAATGGGTTAGTAATGTCGTGCACAATGATGTCATGCAATTTTATTAGCCATAAACAATATGTTAGTTTTTTTTTTTTAATCAGTGATAGTGAAAATTTGCTTTTTAGGCCATTAGTACGAGTGGAAGAAATAATGAATATTTACAGTTAAGCGTGGACTAAATGAATGTTAAAAATTTTAACTAAATGAATGATTAAAATAAAATAAAAATTATCCCGTGACACTAACCTTTGGCCGTTTCCGGTCTCCCAACAGTAGGATTTTAGGTGGGATGGCGTGCATGTATTTTCACAGCATTCTACCACTATGGGCGATCTTTTTCGCCTGCGGCTAGGAACGGTAACATCTGAAACGTAAAAGTAAAATCATTGAAAACATAAATAACCATCTGCATATTATTATAGATAATAATGTATGTGTGTCGTTGTACAGATTAGCCCAAACGGCGAGCACTGTGTAAAATATAAATTACCATTAGTTATTTCCATTGTTATTCACGTTTTATTGTTATTTACCATTGCCTAAAATAATGATTTAGATACTCGTGGGTTATTTAAATTTCATTTAACAGCTGTTATATTGTTGTGCAGTTGATATTTTTCACGACTATGGTTTGTTTGCTTAATGATAGGTGTAATATTTTTAAATGAATAACGTAATGGAATGGGCCACGATTTGGTAATTAAGATAAGATTTTTTACTATTGTTTGTATAAACTATTGAATTAGGCTGTACTACTCAAGATATTATGGCGCATTATAAATATATTTTTAAATTGTTGTTTATTTGTATTTATAGAATATCTACAGATGACACTACAGGTCATTATACTGGTCATTCATAATACACTACCCGCGCAATTATGATACAAAACGTTTACGTTTAATTGTTTGTTTTACGATGCTTATTTTATTTTCATTTACAATAATAATTTGATTTGATTAAGTAATCCGGTTTTGACTTTTTTTATTTGCATCTATCCATTTACGTGATTTAAGAGGACGTCAACCCTTTAAAAATTGTGGTACAACGTGTTTATGGAAAAGCGTGTAGCTGTGATAGTTAAAAAAAAATTAACTACCAAAAACAGCCCTAATTACTGAACTACTAATTACACATCACCAGTTTAACCTTTAAATTAAAATTTTGCAAAAAATTGCCTATACCCAAATCCTAAATAAATATGGTATAATAAAATATTTATTTTGAAATAATGAAGTTAACAAAAAAAAGAAATAGTTCCTTGATAAATGTCTGCAAAATTCTATATCAAATTGATGTATTTTTAAATATTCCTTAACATTTTTGCGTTTTTCCAAAAAATGTGTAACATCAATTTGTAAGAAAACCGTGTAGAAAATATTATAACTAATTTTTTGTTTTCGGCATTCGCTGATTGAAAACCCGAAATTTTTGAAGTAAGAAGAAATTGGAAAAAACCTATTATTTAAAAAACGATCGTACTGCTTATATTTCTCAATAAATAAATTGCCGATTTATGTATACATTTAAAATGGTAAAATCGCAAAACTTTTTTCTCTAAGGTTTTTGCGAGAACATATAAATTTTTTTTTTTTCATGCTCTATGTTCATTACCTGTTTCAATTGATTATAAGGGTGGTGGATCTCACGCGTGTGGAATTAGAAGAACAATTTAGTAACTTAATAGTTTTTTTTTGTATTTTCTGCTTAACACAATATTACAACTGTAGGTCTGTAGAACATTCACGGTTGATCCTTACCATCGGTGTTCGGGTGGAAATTGTACCCTTGACTGCAAATCAACGCCAACACGTTGGCTAGCTGTGCTCCGCAAAAATGCCTCGGCGTATCCCACATTATTATTGGCGAGCTGTTTACGTGGCTCGCCAGCAACAATACTATCACCATTGCCACAGGGTTCATAGCACAGATTACGCCTGAAACACAACAATACAAGCACGGTCAGAGTTGATAATTTAAAAAAAAAACTAATATACAATAATAATTCTATAGTCAGTAAAACCGGTTCGAAATAAATAAATGGCGTTTCAAAATTGTGATCGACATGATAATGTTTAACCGCATTGGTAAAAAAAAAAAAACAGTGTACCTAGTTATTATAATTTATAATATTTACTTTACCATACTACTATATTCAATACTATTGATAACGCGATGTTTGGTACGAGTAGACGGTAGTTAGCGCACTGCTTGATTACTGTCAAATGAAACCTAAGTTTAAATATCAGAATACTTATTTGATTGTCAATATCTTAAAAGTGAAAAATAAAAGGACTAAGGTCTAAAGTTTCCATCTGTTAATAGGTAACTATAAATTCTGGAGTAGGGACACGCATGTATCATATCATAATACACTGTAAATGAGTCGCATGTAATGGTTATAATGGGGTAAGTTCTTAATTAGTATAATACATTAATATTATTATTACGCCCAACATTAAATGTTAAATACTATGGTAATTATTTTCTTATTATACTGTAAAATCTTATCACGCAAAAAAAACACCAATTTTTTTACGAAACAAAACTAAGTAGAAACCAACACAATATAAGAAGAGGCACACTGTGGTCGAGTGGAGTTCTTTGGTTTAGGAGTACTCGTAGTTACATGTACAAAAGTGAAAAAGTGATACAATTATTATCGTACGCCTTACGATTTAAGATCTGTAGATAATAAAAGCCGGCACATTACAAGAAGTTAGCTTTTTTCTTGTAAATGATTACTCCGCCCTGAACTCACTGTGCTGTATTTAGGGGCATAGTAGGCCTAACTACAGTCTAGTTTAAGATTCCTAATATTGCATCTAACAGGGTTTAATAATGGTCTTGAATGAATTTTTATTTTCTTCATTCATTTGTAAACCCATTTTCGATGCCTCGTTATTAATTTGACGAACACGGTTTTGAGGTCATCCTGAGATTTTTTTATTAGGACAATATTGTCTGCATATGCTAACAATCCTGTAGTATCTTGTGGTAGTATTATACCTTCTTGATGACCAATAGGCAATAGCCATCTCCCTAATCCCTTACCACTTTTTAGGTTTTTTAGTACTAAATTAAATAGACTAGGTAACGGAGCGTCACCTTGTCTTAATCCTGATTTTACGAGTACTGGGTCTGATATTACCAACTTGGACAAATCTCTAATACACGTAACGAAATTCAACCATTCAATTCAGTTCACAAAAATGTATAACTATAGAAATTGCCACATGTTTTAATTTCATTGAGATTAAATTAGATAAAACCAAAATAAGCAACAACAACTATTATTACGGTTTATTAATGTATAAATATGTAAAAGCAAATATAACTCCAACCCCAATAATATTTGTTTAGTTTATATTTATGTGTGTTTGAGTTCCCGGTTCCATTATTTTATTAGATTCGTAATAATTTTTATAAATAATAACTGATAACAAACTAGTTGACTCATAGAAGTTAATCGTATAGCATAATGTTTCTATGGAATCACATAGCATAATTATAAAATCTGAAATTATATTTTTAATGCTTCAAATGAAACATAATGTCAAAAACTAAAATGTTCAAATTAATCTTAATTAATTGGCCATTATCTAAACGGTAGTTAAGCATTAAAATATAGTAAATTATGTATACTATTATACGAGTATATCATGTTTTAAGTCTATTAATTAACATTGAACATTAATTAAAAGGAATACAGATGATGACAATATACCTGTTAAATAACAATTATTAATTAATATTCTATAATCAATAATAGTATGTTACTTAATAGGCGGTACACTCATACTTACATTATTATACAAAGACAGAATCTTGTAAAGATCTGTTTTACAATATTATAGGCTTGAGCTAATATAGAATATAACTGGGATATATAATATGCGTTTTGGGCTACTCTAATTGGGCAATAAAGTTTTATCTTTTTAAAAAGTTAGACAATATTTTAATACCTATAAGTATTTGTATATTATATAAAAACGCATTTAATAGCAATTTAAAATATTATGCATGATGATACAATAATAAATTATAGACATTAGCTGTAATGACAATAATTTGAGACTATTTTTTGGTCTTATCATACACATAGTAAGATCAAACTCAGCCGTACAAACACATTACTGATTAATAGTTTATTTTGAAAACGGTGTATTTATAGTATAATTATTAAACATTAATAATCAATGAAGACAATATGTCAAGTAGGCACTGAAATTATTATAATTTTTTTTACGAATAAAATAGTAAATACGATTTTAAAATGAACGAATTTCAACATAACATAATATTAAATAATAACTCATGCTGGCTAATACGCATATTCACGCTAACACCAATGCTATTTAGGTGTAAATTGAGATTAAAAAAAAATGTAAAAAAAAAATGCGATTAATACTTAAAAACTATTTATACTTATGTTATCAAATAGGTTTTCAATTCAAAGTGGTTCATAATTTATTTATCTGACAGATTATAACAGATCATAGGAACTGACCTACTTAGATAAATACAAGCGTGTAATGGACGAATAACTCGTTGAATCTAAATGCGAAAATAGTACTATTTATAAATAAGTATCGCGGGGGTGAAAAGATTTAGTCTCAATGGTGGTTAACAATTTCAAATTGGGTTGGATTGTAAGTAAAAGCTATGTTTTGTCCGTACGACAAAGGCCGTGTTCTAGACCCGTTTAATATAGGTATTTTGTAGTGTATTTATAGAGTTTGCAAAATATTAGTTTTGACGTGTATTCAAATATTATTTAGCGGTTACAAGTCGTTCAATGAGAATTAATGATTTTTAAATTGCGAGAACGTTGGAGAAGATCTTACAATACCATCCACGGCAAGTATCATCTTGTTATTAATTTGTATTAAAAATCTGAACGTTTTTTTTTTTGTATTTATGAAGCCGAGGAATATCAATTATTTCCTTTACTGAACAATAACGATTGCCGGTGCAACTGACAAATCTTATAACACGGTTATAGTCACTTGTTATAACCATCAAAAAAAAAAATAAATAGACTGCACGATGGAAATCTATGGCCAATTGACATCAGTGTGGCTGGGTATACGTTTTACATTTGTTATAAATATGTGTATACAAAAAAACAAACACAAATTATTAAATTGTAATGTAATTTTATTTCTCCAGACGAAATGAATATAAGGTGTATTTCATATATTTTAAGTCCGTTACTGTTCATTAAATATAGATATTTTATTTGTCTTAAATTTTATTCGGTACTATGTCTATCTAAAAATATTAGTCTGGTTACAGTTTTAAATATAATTCATAGATATTAGACACCGTAATAATTTGTAAGTAATATAATTAACAATTTATGGATTATACGGTATTATACCGATATGTTTTCTTACCAAACAAAAAAAATATAATTACAAATTTCAAGCTCAATAATTTTAGTAGGTGGATACTATGTTATGTGGTGTATTCATAGAGTAGAAACAAATAAACGAGAGCTATAAATTGAGCAATTCGATTGTATTGTATTTGTCTGTTTATAAATATTTGTTATACATTTTTTTGTGCTATTATGTTTAACAAAACAAAACACAACACAGTTTAAAGTATTTCAATTTTTATCAGTTATTGTTTTTCTTAAACAATAACAAGGATGATAGCGACGAAAATAACAAGAATACTTTTTTGTGAATTATATGTAACACTCCAAAGTATAAAGAAAAAATATGTTCGTTGATTTGTATATTTCAATAAGAACTATACTATGATTTTAAGTAATTGAACTTTTTAAAAATACTGTGGTAACACTGTGATATTCGTGTATGCATGTTAGTAATGTTAGATTTAAAATAAATAATTAAGTCACACTATTGGCGCATGCCAGTATACATGTGTTTTTTATTATAAAATATAAGATAATATAATTTATTACACGGTACAGTCGTTCGATTAATGTACTAAATTAAAATAAATGCATAATGGATTGATTAGAACCGTCGAATAAATTAGACATCCACGTTGCACGTTACAATAGCTAATATGAAAGAGGAACTTTACCATCTTCAAAGTGGTGGTTGGAGTATATATGACAAGAAACCAGTCGAACAAGTAGCAATCGTAGGCGAAAAAGCCAGAGAAGTATTTGAAAAATTAAGTGTTAGAATAAATTATTAAACTAGATCAAGTAACTAAATTATTTGACAACTACCTAAAACTTAAAATGAATGAATGTGTAAAAGCGTTTAGATTTAATATAAGAGATCAGACAGTTGATGAGGAGTTTAAGGAATACTTGACTGTATTAAGAAAGTTATCTGTAATTTTGGTGGAATGAAAGATAGTTTCATCAAAGATCGCCTAGTTGCTAAAGTCTATGATAAAAAATTACTAGAAAGATTACTAGTAGAAACAGAGTTAATATTTGTCAAAGTGGTAGAAATATTAAAAATATATCATGCGGCTCAAAATCAAAGAAGTCGAATGAATAATAGAAAAATCAATACTTCAAGTAAATAATCAATTACAAAAATTAAGGACGCTACAGTTAAAAGAACATTAAACTGAGGAAAATAAGTGATATAAATAAATGTCGAGTATATTATAAATACAGCTACAAATGCAAACAATTTAACTATTTTGCCAAAACGTGTATAGGTAAAGAAGAATAGAAGCCAGTCCCCTGGGGCACTGGTCTTAATTCTTAAGGAATAATTGTAACTAAAAGTGATAATTTCACATAAATAAATCGGTTAAGGGAATATCGGCGGGTCTAGACATAAAAATAAAAAGTAAAAAATACCTTCTCGGTTTCTCACCAAAGCTAGAAGAATACAAATAAAAATAAAATAAGCATAATAAAACGGATAGGATTAAACGGTAGCATTGGCCTGTACTGTAAATAAAAAACTCAAGCATGTATAAAAAAAAAAAAATC